AAACTCAGTGTGGTACCAGGCATGGTGAATAATGTCAGTCTAGGGGAGTGGAAGCTCAGTGTGGCACCAGGCATGGTGAATAATGTCAGTCCTGAGGAGTGGAAACTCAGTGTGGCACCAGGCATGGTGAATAATGTCAGTCCTGAGGAGTGGAAACTCAGTGTGGCACCAGGCATGGTGAATATTGTCAGTCCTGAGGAGTGAAAACTCAGTGTGGTACCAGGCATGGTGAATAATGTCAGTCTAAGGGAGTGAAAACTCAGTGTGGTACCAGGCATGGTGAATAATGTCAGTCTAAGGGAGTGGAAACTCAGTGTGGTACCAGGCATGGTGAATAATGTCAGTCTAAGGGAGTGGAAACTCAGTGTGGCACCAGGCATGGTGAATAATATCAGTCTAAGGGAGTGGAAACTCAGTGTGGTACCAGGCATGGTGAATAATGTCAGTCTAAGGGAGTGGAAACTCAGTGTGGCACCAGGCATGGTGAATAATGTCAGTCTAAGGGAGTGGAAACTCAGTGTGGTACCAGGCATGGTGAATAATGTCAGTCTAAGGGAGTGGAAACTCAGTGTGGTACCAGGCATGGTGAATAATGTCAGTCTAAGGGAGTAAAAACTCAGTGTGGTACCAGGCATGGTGAATAATGTCAGTCTAAGGGAGTAAAAACTCAATGTGATACCAGGCATGGTGAATAATGTCAGTCCTGGGGAGTGGAAACTCAGTGTGGTACCAGGCATGGTGAATAATGTCAGTCTAATGGAGTGGAAACGTAGTGTGGCACCAGGCATGGTGAATAATGTCAGTCTAGGGGAGTGGAAGCTCAGTGTGGCATCAGGCATGGTGAATAATGTCAGTCTTTGGGAGAGGAAATTTAGTTCAGTTGTCCTTGGTTGTGTATTAGAGATCCTGTTATGTTAATGTTTCCACTCCACAAATACTACATGGTAGTCAAAGCTAAAACAGAGGAATTTCTATAGAGTATTCAGTCTTTGTTGGTGTAGTTCTTACATAAATACTTTTTTTAGAATGAAAATTTGTCCGACTTCCACTTTAGCTTAAAAGGTATTCGTGTATTAGAACTCTGACGACATACTGGCCCATTGTATTGATCACTAAACATAAAAACTTGTTTGATTAATGGTACTTGTATGGTAGACACTGAAACCTTATTTACACAATTAAAGGTATACATTATTGTGATCTCAGGTGATCACAATGTACAAGTGATATATATATATAGACAGGTGACCACTATATACAGGTGATATCTATAGACAGGTGACCACTATATACAGGTGATATATATAGACAGGTGACCACTGTATACAAGTGATATATATATAGACAGGTGACCACTATATACAAGTGATATATATATAGACAGGTGACCACTATATACAAGTGATATCTATAGACAGGTGACCACTATATACAGGTGATATCTATAGACAGGAGACCACAATGTACAAGTGATATATATATATAGACAGGTGACCACTATATACAGGTGATATCTATAGACAGGTGACCACTACATACAGGTGATATATACAGACGGGTGACCACTGTATACAAGTGATATCTACAGACAGGTGACCACAGACAGGTAACCACTATATACAGGTGATATATATAGACAGATGACCACTATATACAAGTGATATACATAGACAGGTGACCACTATATACAGATGATATCTATAGACAGGTGACCACTATATACAAGTGATATCTATAGACAGGTGACCACTATATACAGGTGATATCTATAGACAGGTGACTGCTATATACAAGTGATATCTATAGACAGGTGACCACTATATACAGGTGATATATATAGACAGATGACCACTATATACAAGTGATATGTATAGACAGGTGACCACTACATACAGGTGATATCTATAGACAGGTGACCACTATATACAAGTGATATCTATAGACAGGTGACCACTATATACAAGTGATATCTATAGACAGGTGACCACAGACAGGTAACCACTATATAAGGTGATATGTATAGACAGATGACCACTATATACAAGTGATATATATAGACAGGTGACCACTATATACAAGTGATATCTATAGACAGGTAACCACCATACAAAGCTAACTATAGATATATGACTGCTAGTTAAAAGCAGATTTATTATATCAAAATTTAGAAGATGTAAGTTTAACTTCCCCATTGACACTGGCCAAGTATGAAGAGAAAGACTGGTTTGTGTGATTTAGTTTAGTTAGAGATTTTTTCAGTTACTTATCAAAATGTCAGAATCAGCAGCTGATACAGTACAGATCATACCTTAATAGACCATATTGTAACAGTTTAATGTACTGTGCTAATTACAGTGTCATGAATAACCTCTTGTTTAATAGAAAAAGTAACCTATTGTTATCATTGAATGACTACACGTTGTATCTTCTCAACACTTATGTTGTTATAACATGAGCATAAAATGAAATGAATAAATAAATATACAGAGAGATGGCTATTATGTATGGATGTCAGGTGTACTGTAGTTTTATTTGAATTTAAAAAATAGTGACTTCACCAGCTCCCTTCGCTAATATAAAGTGTGAAATGAGGTATAGTTAAGACTCTATAGACTTTTATTATGTAATAGTAAACATTCGTAAAGCCTGATGGTCAACACTTATCGATGGTAAACACCACTAGACATTTATGAAGTTAATCCACTTTTTAAAATCAAAAGCTCTTGATTTGTTTATACTATATATCTGACAGAATGACGAACTTAAATGATATCAAGTTATATACTTCTTTAGAATTTCAAGTGTAACTGCAGCATGTTTCCAGTATTTTTTGTTAAATTTGTAAATATTTTTGGTACGTTTTAATAGATACTTTGATCTGAAAATATTAAAAAAAAAAAAAAAAAAAAACATGTTTAACAACAGTAAGAAGGGATGTGATGTACAGGTGTTGTACAGGTATATTCCTAGTAGATACGGAGATGTGTTGTACAGGTTTGTACAGGTATATTCCTAGTAGATAAGGATATATGTTGTACAGGTATATTCCTAGTAGATAAGGAGATTTGTTGTACAGGTTTGTACAGGTATATTCCTAGTAGATAAGGATATATGTTGTACAGGTATATTCCTAGTAGATAAGGAGATGTGTTGTACAGGTATATTCCTAGTAGATAAGGAGATGTGTTGTACAGGTATATTCCTAGTAGATAAGGAGATGTGTTGTACAGGTATATTCCTAGTAGATAAGGAGATGTGTTGTACAGGTATATTCCTAGTAGATAAGGAGATGTGTTGTACAGGTACATTCCTAGTAGATAAGGAGATGTGTTGTACAGGTGTTTTACAGGTATATTCCTAGTAGATAAGGAGATGTGTTGTACAGGTGTTGTACAGGTATATTCCTAGTAGATAAGGAGATGTATTGTACAGGTATATTCCTAGTAGATAAGGAGATGTGTTGTACAGGTATATTCCTAGTAGATAAGGAGATGTGTTGTACTAGTGTTGTACAGGTATATTCCTAGTAGATAAGGAGATGTATTGTACAGGTATATTCCTAGTAGATAAGGATATATGTTGTACAGGTATATTCCTGGTAGATAAGGAGATGTGTTGTACAGGTATATTCCTAGTAGATAAGGAGATGTGTTGTACTAGTGTTGTACAGGTATATTCCTAGTAGATAAGGAGATGTATTGTACAGGTATATTCCTAGTAGATAAGGAGATGTGTTGTACAGGTATATTCCTAGTAGATAAGGAGATGTGTTGTACTAGTGTTGTACAGGTATATTCCTAGTAGATAAGGAGATGTGTTGTACAGGTTTGTACAGGTATATTCCTAGTAGATAAGGATATATGTTGTACAGGTATATTCCTAGTAGATAAGGAGATTTGTTGTACAGGTTTGTACAGGTATATTCCTAGTAGATAAGGATATATGTTGTACAGGTATATTCCTAGTAGATAAGGAGATGTGTTGTACAGGTATATTCCTAGTAGATAAGGAGATGTGTTGTACTAGTGTTGTACAGGTATATTCCTAATAGATAAGGAGATGTGTTGTACTAGTGTTGTACAGGTATATTCCTAGTAGATAAGGATATATGTTGTACAGGTATATTCCTAGTAGATAAGGAGATGTGTTGTACAGGTGTTGTACAGGTATATTCCTAGTAGATAAGGAGATGTGTTGTACAGGTATATTCCTAGTAGATAAGGAGATGTGTTGTACTAGTGTTGTACAGGTATATTCCTAATAGATAAGGAGATGTGTTGTACTAGTGTTGTACAGGTATATTCCTAGTAGATAAGGAGATGTGTTGTACAGGTATATTCCTAGTAGATAAGGAGATGTGTTGTACTAGTGTTGTACAGGTATATTCCTAGTAGATAAGGAGATGTGTTGTACTAGTGTTGTACAGGTATATTCCTAGTAGATAAGGAGATGTGTTGTACAGGTATATTCCTAGTAGATAAGGAGATGTGTTGTACAGGTATATTCCTAGTAGATAAGGAGATGTGTTGTACTAGTGTTGTACAGGTATATTCCTAGTAGATAAGGAGATGTATTGTACAGGTATATTCCTAGTAGATAAGAAGATGTGTTGTACTAGTGTTGTACAGGTATGTTCCTAGTAGATAAGGAGATGTGTTGTACAGGTATATTCCTAGTAGATAAGGAGATGTGTTGTACAGGTGTTGACATTCTCCATATTTTGTCCTTTGTTGTGTCCATAGTGTTGACATCCTCCCTATTTTGTCCTTTATTGTGTCCATAATGTTGACATTCTCCCTATTTTGTCCTTTATTGTGTCCATAGTGTTGACATTCTCCATTTTGTCCTTTATTGTGTCCATAGTGTTGACATTCTCCATTTTGTCCTTTATTGTGTCCATAGTGTTGACATTCTCCATTTTGTCCTTTATTGTGTCCATAGTGTTGACATTCTCCCTATTTTGTCCTTGATAATATCCATATATTACCTTTCTGTTACAGAGTCTGTGCCCATGAGGCTCCGTGCACTACCTCAGTCATTTTGGAAACAGCCTAACGTGCCAAATCAAGTTTCGCCAGCAAATGTGTTCCCCTCTTTACCTCCACTCTGTTCACGAGAATCTATGGATGAAATTACAGGTTAGTCAGCAATACAACCAACCATTGATTTGAATGTATCAGGTATTATTTTGTTTTCATTGAACTGGTATGTTTTGTTCTAATTTTTTTTTATTTTGAGCCTTTTTCAATGTACATTATGTAATCTTATATACCTATTCCCTGTAAAAATTGATGGTTTTTTTTTATTATGGGCCATTTTCAATATACATTATGTAATTTTATATTCCCTGTAAAATTGATGTATTTGTATCATGTTGGTCTGCTGTTGTATTTTATAAAAAAAATAATATGATATTAAAGCTTGTTATATTGTTCTATTTCATCTATTGGTTATTTTTTTTCATTTAATCTGACAGTTTTACTAATATATTATATGGTAAAGTTTTAATTTGACAATTCTACTAATATATTATATGGTAAAGTTTTAATTTGACAGTTCTACTAATATATTATATGATAAAGTTTTAATTTGACAGTTCTACTGATATATTATATGGTAAAGTTTTAATTTCACAATTCTACTGATATATTATATGGTAAAGTTTTAATTTGACAGTTCTACTAATATATTATATGATAAAGGTTTAATTTGACAGTTCTACTAATATATTATATGGTAAAGTTTTAATTTGACAGTTCTACTGATATATTATATGGTAAAGTTTTAATTTGACAATTCTACTAATATATTATATGATAAAGGTTTAATTTGACAGTTCTACTAATATATTATATGATAAAGTTTTAATTTGACAGTTCTACTGATATATTATATGGTAAAGTTTTAATTTCACAATTCTACTGATATATTATATGGTAAAGTTTTAATTTGACAGTTCTACTAATATATTATATGATAAAGGTTTAATTTGACAGTTCTATATATTATATGGTAAAGTTTTAATTTGACAGTTCTACTAATATATTATATGGTAAAGTTTTAATTTGACAGTTCTACTGAAATATTATATGGTAAAGTTTTAATTTGACAGTTCTACTAATATATTATATGATAAAGTTTTAATTTGACAGTTCTACTAATATATTATATGATAAAGGTTTAATTTGACAGTTCTACTAATATATTATATGGTAAAGTTTTAATTTGACAGTTCTACTGATATATTATATGGTAAAGTTTTAATTTGACAGTTCTGCTAATATATTATATGATAAAGGTTTAATTTGACAGTTCTACTAATATATTATATGGTAAAGTTTTAATTTCACAATTCTACTGATATATTATATGGTAAAGTTATAATTTGACAATTCTACTAATATATGATATGGTAAAGTTTTAATTTGACAATTCTGCTAATATATTCTGTTGTAAAGTTCTAATTTAACAATTGTACTTATATATTCTGTGATAAAGTTTTAATTTGACAGTTCTATTAATATATTATATGGTAAAGTTAATTCAACAGTTTCTCATATATTTTGTGTTGAGAATAAATTTGCCATAATGATCTAGTTCTAATAATTAAATCCCTAGGAGAGTTAGAACTGGTTTTGCTGATCGTGACATGAAACAATAAAAAACTGACAACCTGTTATACTATTTATAGCATAGTCCTGATACTCATTTTCATGTTAGGATGGCTCCCATCTAGAATTTTTATGACACAGTTTACAGGGTAATCACTACATGCTTGTTTGGATCCAATTATTGATCATCAATATCTTATGTACAATATTTTTCTTACAAGTAATCGCTCAACCAAAACGAGTAAATGAAAAATGATTGACATATATACATGTATTTCACAATACATCTCTTTGATTTCTAGAGAGTCTATACCTGAATGTCTATGATCGAATCAATAAACAGTTCATGTATATATAATATACCTAAGGTCGGGAGTGAAACGTACAGTGGAGGTGAATAAACAGAATGTTAGGTCTACAGAAGTCGAGGATGGCTGAATGGAATGTTAAGTCTATAGAACTATGGGGTTGATAGATGGAATGTTAGGTCTACAGAACACTGAGGTGGATTAACAGAATGTTAGGTCTACAGAACACTCAAGATGAACATAATGTTATAAAACAGAATGCCAGATGAACATGCTGTAGACCTAAAATTCTGTTTATTTACCTCAAGTGTTCTTTGACAGATCACTTGAAGTGAAAGTTTGGTCCACAGAACCCTACGTGTAAATGCATGTTTGGTCAACAGAACACTTGGATGAATGAACAGAAGTTAACATCTACAGAATAAACAGAATTATATAGGACACTAGGATCAATACACAGGATTCAACCGGATATTTGGGTGAATTATCAGAATTAAGTGTCTATAGAAGACTGGGGTGAATGAAACAAAATAGGATGTCTACAGAAGACTGGGGTGAATGAAACAAAATAGGATGTCTACAGAAGACTGGGGTGAATGAAACAAAATAGGATGTCTACAGAAGACTGGGGTGAATGAAACAAAATAGGATGTCTACAGAAGACTGGGGTGAATGAAACAAAATAGGATGTCTACAGAAGACTGGGGTGAATGAAACAAAATAGGATGTCTACAGAAGACTGGGGTGAATGAAACAAAATAGGATGTCTACAGAAGACTGGAGTGAATAAAAAAAGTTTGTTCAGGATGGTATGCCTCAAACATTCTAGCCTTAATGAGGTTGACTCATTTTGAAGGTTATATGGTTAATATGTAAAAACTGTTTAAATCACATGTTCTACATACTTAAAAGACACTTTACCTATACAATGTTGAGTTTAAATGATTGACATTGGCCTACATTGAGGGTTACAGAGGATCACTATATGAATGCTATGACTCCTTCTGGGTAACCAAGGAGATGAAAGTTATTATATATGGGGTAAAGCCTACATGGGTGAAGGAAGATCAGGTTTATCTGAATGTCTTTGACCCTCTATAAATTTTGTATTCATGAGTAAAATAACAATTTTCAAACAAATATTCACAATGTTTAGAGTGACTCTTCATGTTTCAGTCGAGATCCACAAAATATAATAGGCATTTCTTATATGTAAATTGAACCTATGATTTGGTTTATATTTCGTAATATACAAAATTTAAAGGTCCATTTGTGCTAGTGGACATAAAATGAGTGTAAATCTCAGAAAGACCTATTTTTAGATTATGCATCGTGATCTGATAAGCCGACCCAGGTCAGTAGATTTACCTGGTACAAAGGTACTCAGTGACTTATTCTAATATTACATAATCAATCCTAGAAACGCTTGTTATAGGAATTTCACCTTCTTAAAAATTAAACCCTTTCATATATAATTATCACTGTGGGCTTGAAAATGGCACTTAAGTGAACCACAAATTTTATTTTTAAGCCTATTCATTATGCATTCCGGGATTAATATATGCTGTTAATATGTACCTATTATATGCTTCCTTTCATTGGCCTATTACCCACAGTCCTGGTTGTTGGAACCTTCTTAAAGCTGTACAACTGTACAAGCAGTACGACCTGTATTCTAATTTTTTTAACAGAAGTACGGTCTACTTAATCACATAGTTTGGGAGACATGTTTGATGAAATGTGTTTGTTTTTATCGAGTATATTGTTCACAACTTTTTTTTCTTCCATTGTTATCCAGCCGATTAGTCATAGGAAATAGGAAACAAAACCATTAGAGTATGCACTGAACAAGGTTAGAAAGTATTGTGAAATATATTTCAAAAAGCTTCCTGACTATGTTGATAGTTACACCCAAACAACAAACAAGAATTTTTAATTGGCAAAAGTTCAGGAACCGGAACACTTCATTGTCTGATATGGATCTGTGCCATTTGTACTAATAAAAAAAGGCCCATTGTGTACATGTGTTAAATACCATAGTTAAATTGGCAAATCCTCAGCCAGATTAAGGTAGACATGTTTGCCTGCATGAACATATCTTGATAACTTAATTTGAAGAAATTAACTTTTAGTTTTAATTTTAGATAGATAAGAAAAAGGTATTATGATTTTAATACATGGAAACCCGCCATTTGGTTTAATAGAGTAGAAGACTTTGACCTTTGAAAATGACAAAATACTGATAAAAACCTTAATGCAAAACCACAATGTGGTTTAGAGCAAATATTTTTAGTTATTTTACAATTAAGATTGGACACTGAGTGGTAAACAGACTGACACCCAGCTGTACTGACAGGCTTATTCATTTATCATATTTCATTTCTAAGTTATCATGGAAAGCTCTTATTTTCCTTTTATGGGTAACAACTATAGCTCACTATGGTAAACCGTTTCTGTCTGTTTACGCCATTGTAAATCTAGCATGGAAATAAAATATTTGATTCCTCAGGGGCATATTTGCATGAGAACAGCAACACTTCTCCATTTCTACAATTCCATGTGGACCTGGGAAAGTTGTATGCTGATAATTATTAACGATAGGTATCAATTAGGATCTCTGATTCTCATTATTTCTGTACAAAGGTGGAACGTCAGGTAGATGTAAAATTGATTACACCCTAAGTACCTACAGGTGCAGGTAAAAAAACCACAGGTAATGTAAGTGGTGCCTGTATTATAATGAGGGAAAGAAACCATTCCCACCTACTTGTGCTACAATGAAATGCAATTAAAGGTGTAGTATTCGTAACTGGGTTACCTTCAGTGTAACAGCCGTACCGATCAATGACCGCATCATTATGGACCTGCAGTCTGTTGTTTACACACCGTCACTAAATACATCACATTAACTCTACGATCAGGTGAAAAAACAACACATCTAATGAGGATGAGATTATGATAGAAATCAATTCCAGAACATGATACTGACACAAACCATGTCTTGTTTAGAAATTTTAATTACTTTTTTTACCTGAAATATCATTTGAGGTTAAAAATCAATGGTAACTTTTTACTTGAGACAGATTTACTTATCTTAATGGATGAGGTATAATACAGGGTTATAGTTACTGACTGGACTGGTAGAGGGGGCACTACAATGTTCCTACTGTTACACACGTACATTACTTTATCTTAAATCGGTTGTACATTAGAGGGATTAGTGGTTGTTATTTGTAAACTAGAAACTTGACTTTTTGTTTATGGATACGAAGCATTTTTATAACATCACAGTTAAGGGTTCAATTTTAACACATTTGACTCCAGAAATGCGTCATTTATTGATTAAGTAGATATATTTATGACTTAGTCCGTGATTCAAAATAATGGGTACTATGTATTACATATAGATATTACTGTAAAGACTACACTTCATTAATTTTTTTCACCATTATCACTTAATCTTGGACATAATCATCTGAAGTCCCATGTGACTGTACTGAAACCATCACATCACTGATATTTTCTGCCTGTAGTTTAGCCTGAATAGGCTAAGGGGCCAAGATATGACACTGGAATATGCTGTTACTCAACCAGTATTTCTTGCACAGATAGATAAAAATTTCCTTACAGTGAAAATAATTCTTAAAATAAGAAAAAAGAAAAGAAAACTAATCGTTTTTTGTGCATAATTTAAACTTTGCCTTAAATTATTGTATATTATCCATGATGAATAAGAGGAACAACCAGCAACTACTTATTATTTATAGAAGAAGGAAACCTGCCTGCCAATAGAAATAAACATGTCTTCTCCCTTCATGCTGAATTACGCCAAGTTTAAAGCCCAGGGGGGATCACTGTACACTGGAAAGGGATAAGCATAGTGGGCTTATTCTCGAGCGTGGGCTTATACATTGTAAAATACAGTATAACACTATCCAGAGGACCTTTAACATCAGAAGAATTTTTTTTTCTTTTTACAAAATGTTGGAAGAGATCTTGTTAATTCAATTTTGAGGGATGGAATCAGAATTTCTCACATTGAATTCTGTATGCATTGTAATACAAGAATGCTTTAGGAAACAGCATGTGTTATTTCTAGTATAAATCTTTTTACATGTGACTTGTATCTCCTTACGTTCAGTTTCTGATATTTTTTCCTTCGACAGATGTGCGACCAATTACGCCACCTGAGGAGCGAGAGGCTAGACAGAAAAAGGCACAAAGACCTCCAGATCGGAAACTGATTGTGGGCGATACAGACCTTCTCCTTAAAAATTTGTTTGCTGGTGTGAATCAAGTTGATGACAAGAAAGTGCAACAGATCAAGAGAGGAAGGTAAGTCTTGCTAATTCTGCTGTCAGTGTAAAGCAGAACATCTGACGATGTAATGAACAGCCTTACCTTCACTCTAGGGTGGATATAAACCAATTTTAATAATGTTTCCCAAAGATATCAAAGGACAGGAGTGATGATAATTTACCAACAAGGTTACTCATGTCTGAAGACATTTCATATAATTTATACATTTTTTTATTTAGCAAATCGGCTATGACCATCTTACTACTTATTGCCCTAACAAATCTGCTGATCTATTTTCCTGACAAATTCTACCATTTTTCAGAATAAAGGATACTTTGTTTTGCAATCAATCCTTCATCCTCCTGAAATAGTTTTACTGAATATTATCTGTCCTAGTTTCCTGATAAATTTTACCATTTTTCTGAATAAATGATACTATGTGTTGCAATCAATCCTCCGTTCCCCTGAAACAATTTTATTGAATATTTCAGGCCAAGAAAAGTCACTGTTCCTAAAGCAACAAGCACAAAGACATTGATATCTGGAGATGATCCTTACCTCATGGAAACGATGACAGAGAAGTTCTTTCCTCAGCTGACACTGGAAAGTAGACAAGCACATCTGGCAGGCAACACTTCACTTCAACTGGTGACGATACGGAACGGTGATAACTGTGTAACGCTGCCCTCCCTCAGTATAAACCAAGACTATTCACAAATGTTGTCAGAACTAGCCATGAACATCTAAATATATGTGCGTAGCAGCTAGGTCTGAATTTTATTCAAACTGCATAGTAAGCTGTTAACCTATGTCCACACTCTTCATGAATACATCAAAGGATATGTGATCTGAATAGCTACCATTAGGTTGAAGTTTTTCATCAGTGTTGTAATCAGAACTGGCCATGAATTTGTGAAATCTCTGATCTCAGATATTCTGTAACAAAATATCTGACAGAAACAATCTGGAACAAAGAACATCAGAGAGAGATTTTCCAGCGGTCAGGAGGTTCCGGTTGATATTGACATGAGCACATAAATTAGTGCTGTTGGTACATAGTGCTTTAAAACACACAATGTATCAACAAAGATTATTAGTAAAAGCTATCTGTGATTTCTAGGAAAGAAAATTTGTATGTAGTAATTATATTCCATTTTATTACACGAGACGCCCTGTGCCATTACACATCTGTTTATTGTTAGTGACGGTTTCTGTAAAATTATTAATTTTCATGGGGAATTTATTTTCATTGATTTCATTGGGTTCTCTTTATCTACAAATTCTTATGTCCACAAATTGTGGTAATTAGCATAAGGACATTTATAGAGCTATGTTAATCAATGAGATCAAATGTCCAAAAATAACTCATTGAAAAACCACGAAAATTGAACCCCATGAAAATATGTCATTTTACAGTATTTGAAATTAAAGGGAAAAAAATCTCATTAAATTTATCATGTATTTAATTAAAATACAATATTCTACCGGTGTTTATCCGTAAGTTACACCACAATTAAGCAAGACAGCCATAAAACCATTCACTGTCACATAAATTTAGCACTAGATTCCACAGCAACATCATATCCACGGAGACAAGGCAACCTGTTCAAACATGATTGATCATCTTTTAAAATGTCACCAACCATTCTTTTTATTGTAATCAAGTGGTGTACAGTGTTGTAAAATAACGAACATGAAGACACAGATTTTCTGTGACGCTTGAGAAGGCATAGTGTGTATTCATATCGTGTAGGTTACCATACCCGGGAATGTCCTGTGTTGTTTCTGCTGTAGATTCCTGAACAAACATAAACATACACCTTATCGTTTATCTTGCACTCGATAAAACATGTACTGTATAGTTTGTGTCAGCTTGTACCACAATCTCACATCATCTGCCCACGCTCAAACCATCTGACATTATATTCATCGTTTTTTATGTGTTTTGAAAATTCAGAATTCATTGAAGGTGATAATTGTTTACATTCAAGTTGTCATGATTGTTTTGTCTCTTGTTGTAAACATTGAAAAGTGTTCTTCACATATTTTTTTCTGAATTACAATACTATGAGATCATTATTCCATTCAAAATGATACAGAGCATGCAGAATAATATTTTTGTTAATAAATTACAGATTCAGCATAAGCCTTTTTAACAGAAAACAGCAGAAAGGCATTGAGAAACAATTATCACATTTGAACATCTATACAAAGCAATGTTATGTGTGTTTGGGCTACTCCAGTTGTTAAATACTTACCGACCAGTATGTAAGTTATATTGTTATATTTGAATGTTAATCGTTGATATTTGTTAAGTGTTATTATCGTACAAGTCAATAAGGCCCTGATGCCTGAAAAAGATGAACAATTTATAATATTTGATTATGAAGAAAATATTTTTTTCATTCCCTTTCCACTGGTTAAAGACTTTGTTTTGATGAATATTTTTGAGACCAAAATTGAGTGTATAATAACTATTTACCAGTTTTATCTGTAACATAAAGAATCCGTCCAGTTTTATTTTCAGATACTACTGTTAGTTTCATGTTGTGAGTTTTCTACACATATCCGTCCATGTGTATCTATAGTTGTTAAATTTTCAGAATCAGCTTTATTCCTGCCAAATCTTTCACTGTAAATTTCCATGTACTTTGCAAGTAAAGAAACTTCTATTCTATATACAATTCTACCACAAAATTTTCAGAAGCAGCAGTTGAGGAAATCAGTCTCCTACAATTCTATCAGAAATTCATTTTTCAGTCTTCGCTCAAAACAGGTTTTTACAGTATAAGATTTAGAATTGTTTCCTATAAAACACATGAGAATTCTACATTCCTGCCAGTGATCAACATGTGATAGAATTGTTAACCTTTATATGTTTAAAACTTTGTATTTTGTATATGTTATGTATTACAAATGCATTCCTTTATATTCAGCAGTCGTTATAAGTACAGTTTTACACATGTCATTACCTGTATCACATTTGTATACCTAAGTACTGTTAATAGTTAACAAATGGTGACCATACAGTACCCTGATGGTATATATCTGTCTATACTGTCCCTGTGTCAGGTCTATATCATCAGCACTCAAGTCTTACTATCAGTGACCATACAGTACCCTGATGGTATATATCTGTCTATACTGTCCCTGTGTCAGGTCTATGTCATCAGTACTCAAGTCTTACTAAAAGTGACCATACAGTATATATCTGTCTATACTGTCCCTGTGTCAGGTTTGTATTTTTCAGTACTCAAGTCTTACTAACAGTGACCATACAGTATATATCTGTCTATACTATCCCTGTGTAAGGTCTGTATTATCGGTACTCAAGTCTTACTAACAGTGACCATACAGTATATATCTGTCTATACTGTCCCTGTGTCAGGTCTGTATTATCAGTATTCAAGTCTTAAACACTGACCATAGAGTTTATTCCATTCCGTCCTGTGTCACGTCTATATCATCAGTACTCTGTCTTAAAAACAGTAACTGTACAGTGTATACCTGTTCATTCCGTCCCTGTGTTAACAAGTAACCATCTTCTTCATTCGTGCTCTGATAATTTTTTTTTTAATTAGCTAGGTTTACGTCTGTGATAAAAAAATTCTGATTTCAGTCTGTGATATTAGTTTAGTATTAGTGTTGACTTTAGTTAATGGTTTTAATTCTTTATGTAAATATTAGTAGATTTTTTATGTACATTGATTAAGTCATATGACAGTGTGTCTCTTTAGTGTTACTTTCATGTTTTTGTGTTGTAATGAATTTGTGTGAATTTCCCTTGTTATTTAATAATTTAATATTTATTGAATGGTATATTTTCATTTCACTTAATTGGTTCACCACCAAGTAAATAATTTTCGTTATTAGAAATCCCTTCTGATTTCGGATATTTCTTTCTGTCATCTCCCAAATCTGATATTTATTGAATGGTATATTTTCATTTCACTTAATTGGTTCACCACCAAGTAAATAATTTTCATTGTGAGAAATCCTTTCTGAATAAGGATATTTCTTTCTATCACCTCTGAAATGTTTAGCATGAAAAAGACACAAGGACATAACAATTTCTTTTGTGCTTTTTTTGTGACATATAGTTGTCATTGTACTGTCATGCAACTGCTTTTTTCAATGTTCTTTGACTTTCATTTTAACTCCTAAAGATCAGTTGAAGATGAAATTATCATGTCCAGAAGTATACCATGTGTTTATGTTATAGTGTAAATCCAAAACTTATAGCATAATTTGAACTTCATTTCCTAAAACTTCTGTTAAATATGTTTAAGGTGTATCTGTAATATATCATTTTTATCAGTAGTGTAATTGTTTTAAGTCTGTGTAAACATGTACATATTTTGTATTAAACCAAGTTTTTTATTCATTACCTCGATGTAATGGATGAAACTCAACATATTTATCTTTTTTTTCTGTCTCCTAGTTTTATTATGGTCACCAGTAGATGTTTCACAAGAAAACAATTGAAAAAGACAGATTAATCATGCATGCAGACTTAAATAGAACCAATCATTGATCACCTCCAGTTTTGAATGAACCAATCATTGATCACCTCCAGTTTTGAATGAACCAATCATTGATCACTTCCTGTTTTGAATGGGACCAATCATTGATCACTTTCTGTTTTGAATGGAACCAATCACTGATCACCTCCTGTTTTGAATGGGAAGAATAATTTTGTATCTGAAGTTAGCTTCTTTGTCTAACTATGTTTCATATTACTGACACTAATTTTTAAAAATCACATATTTTTGAAATGACAAATGCTTGAAAAGCAAGTCCATCCTGCAAGTTTGGATCAAGTTTCAGATATCTTGATGGCTTTATTTTTTGGATTAGACCATCCAGGGGGCTACATTATATTTTTGGACTAGACACATTAAGGACTAGTGTTAACTCACTTTTTAAGGACTATTTTGTCCTGAAGGGTTTAAAATGATAACATAAATTCCCAATTGGATTCAAAATATCATGTTTGGTGATTTGACATTTCAGCATCCACAAATCAGCCATGTTTTTGGCTGTTGTGCATCTTTTTCCAAGTTCATCACATACAAAGTCAATTAAATTGCAAGCTGGCCTTGTGATTTTCTGTTGTTATATGACATTGTCTCCAAGAGACAACCATAGAGCATTGTTGTCCAACACTTTCATGTGTTATCGTAATATAATGTGTACAAGTTATTACTTCACCTAGGAAGTATATTAACTGGGACACACTGGATTCAGGAAGTTAGTTAAATGTTAACAATATGAGAGTTCAACTCAACAGTAATTCTGTACTTACATATAAGCATACATCATGATATAAAGTCCTTAATTTTTGAGGGGTTTCATTTTCAATGATTTTATGGGTACTCTTTTATCTACAAAATCAAGTGTCCTCAAAATAGTATTTTTTTTGAAAAACTATGAAAATCGAACCCCACAAAAATCATGATTTTACAGTAATTGTTCTCCTGAATATTGTAACTTGAAGTAGTAGTCAGGTTCTATTACATGCGAGTATATCTTGTGGAATCTATTGAGTATGGATGTCAATACTTAAAGTAAATTATTTGTTCCTGAAATGTTATATAAAAAAAGGTTAAATTTAGTTGCTTTTTGATAATCAGCATTTGCCTGCCTGTAAATCTCAGTTGTTTATGAGACTGTAAAGTCTGCCGTTTCTTGATATGTTGTTACCAGGTAACAAAGTATGCCTGACGTAGGTCTCTTAAAAATGTGTTAGTTTGCAGAGTAAGAGACATAATGCATGGGAACAGACATACTGGTATCACTTTTATTTAAAGCTTTTTGAATAATATATGGCTGGACATGCACGATTTTGTTCATTTTCGTTTTCGAGAACAAAGTCAGTTGTCTCCCCTTATTTTGAAATCGTAGTATGAGGATCTGTTTCCATGCAGCACAGTGTATCATGAAATAGCAGCTTGTTAAAGGGTTATACAATTCATACCCTTTACAACAGGGACTCAGTTCCCAACCTCATGGCCCATGTGAATACCTGTTATTGTAATACATGTACATCAATATGGACCTTGGGGTTGAGATTTGGTGCTAAATCCTTCGGTCTTCAAACTGTTTTAAGGTTAAGATTCTATTGCTACTCAACACTTATAAGCAATAATGGTAGACCTTACATAGGCTTTGTTAACTCCAAGAACAAGACACTTGTTGAATTAAATTAGCTGTTTAATCTGTACCATTTCATATTTTGTTATGACGATGCATCCTTTTCATTTACCATGAAATGTTGTGACCATACAGTCTCACAGTTGATGTTTAAATTATTGATTATGATAACTAATTCATACACAAGTTTTCCTGTACATATATTTTCTTACCTGGTTAGATGTTAGATAATTTATAAGTGTTCCATATCATTTTTATAAATCAATATCTGTCTTATTAATTGTTGCTTAAATTATGAATTACAGATTGTTTAGCTTAAATTTAAGCCTAGATAATTGGTATTTTCAGCTGTGTGTCAAATTTTTAGCATCACATTGAGAAAAAGAAATAAAGAGAAAAAAAATAATTCCGAATTTTGTTATTTTTGAATGATGCCACTATTACCAACTTACACGTAATAATATATGGAGGAATATATCAGAAGAGCAATGTCTGTCCACTAATGCCCTAATAGACACCGCTTATATCCTATAATGATAAGCCAATGCAGGTTTATTAATGCAAAATATTACATGCTTATTTTCAGGATAGGCTTATTTTTGAAGTCCGCTAGTTTTCAAGTTTTTAGGGTATACTATGTCATTTTATACCCCGTTAGTTTTGCTACATAGTGATTGGTTACTACATGTCTCCATAAGTCTAACTGTATTGTGATGAATGATGAATATAAAAAGTATAACTGTCCAAGGCTCTGTGGGGCATCTATCTGGCAAATAGAATAATCCCGTAAAATGTGCTGCAAGATTTGACGAGTAAGAAATCTGCATTGGTGTCTTGAAAAAAAAAGCAATAATTTAAGTGTTTTCAGAATAGTCCATAATTTTATAATACTGAGGTGGAAATGCAGGCATCAGTGTATCTATTTAATTCATGTTGGTAACTTTGTGTAATTTGAAGCGGAAAAAAATAATTCACAACGATAACCAAATCCAAAATTACGAATAATGGGTAAATGGACAAGAGTGATCTTTGAACTTTAACCTCTTGATGTTTGACCACCAGAATGTGAAGAACTTGATGGTGATGTGTTGGTGTAGATATGAACTTAACTGCCCAGGGGTTAACAAGTACAAGCTTTCAATGCATGCACACAAACATAATTACTATAATAACAAAGTGAATGGAGGAGGATAGAATCAACACGACAGTTGGTTATCTCTAGAACTTGGTAGTTAGTCCCATAGTGAAACATATTTCAAATAATCTGACACACCTCAACCAGAGATCTATAAAGCAAGTCCTTCACAGACTTGTTTATAATAAGTCTGGGCAGCAAAGACAACAAGTTCTCTACCTTAAAATATGTTTGTTATAATGAAGTATCCCACAGACCCCAAGGCAAACATTTACAGTCATTTCGTAATTAGATGTTGAGAAAATCGGCGGCAAGAAATACCAAGTAAATCATTAACATAAACATTAGGGCATTGTCAATTATTGATGAATGACATAGGAAACATATGTCACTGTAGGACCTTCAGGCATGATGAAACATCAGGGTCGGTCTATAAAACTTACAATAAAACACATTAATGAAACATAACAAGAAAAATAAACATGTAAAAATAAAAAGACAAAATTACCATTTTATGAATTTTTTATTTGTTTTCTCTCATTTTTTTTTTCATCTTTCACAGAAAAACAAGATATATGTTTGCTGTACACAAACATCTTTTCTTTTTCCACCTACTTAACTTTCTTTATGTAACACCCAAAGTGGTAATCACCATACTTAACAATTGAATTGTAACATTTTTATTGAGATACATTGTCAGAATTACCCAAACTTTTTGTGTTTAACAGTCCATTACTACCAGTGTGAAAATCTTTGGGTACCACCATAGTAAAGTTTAATGTTTCCACAAATTTTCGTAAGTCCCAGAATAAAATTTATCAGTATAGGACTCTGAACTTTGATGTAGAGTTTTAAAATATGAATCTTAAAATAAAAAACAAAATCTATCAAAATAAAATAATGATGAGAAATTAACGATGTTTGTAATCTACTATATTTAGGCCTTGGATCATTGATATATTGTTATGCAAGCTTGTTAAATGGGACTATACCACAACAAGAGATACTTGTCAATATCACAAAACTGAATGAATTGACAATTTTACACTGCAAAGAAAGAGGGAACTTTAAGTTCAACTCAATAAATTGCTTGTGTTTAACATATTTTTAAGATACTGATTGTGTTTATGAAAGTGAGGTCAGCTGATCAATTAGAATTTGTTATAAATACAACAAAACATTTGTGACATCACAAGACTGCTGTTATCGCAATACTAAATATACTGTATACACGATTTCTTATTCTAACAGCAGAAGGAAAACGCCAGCTACTCCATCACAATGACTCCTCCGTAACACCTTCCAACATACATTCATATATAATACTGATTACGTTCAAATGGATTTTAACATGGCACATCTTTAGGCTGTGGTTTGTACTAGTTACCAGCAAATTAAAAACTGAAGACATGTTTTTTAGTCCAAAAAAGAATAGGCTACATAAAACATTGAACTTGTGTAATGCATTTCTTTGCCCTAATCAAGAAAACATTCAGATTTCTGTTTCCAGTAAGTTACGCCAAAGGCCTAGCAAGAGTTATAAGCTTAATATCACAATTCTCTTTAGAGTATTATTGAATTTAGAAAAGGTAAAATAGCACACGTTTTAATTAGCACATGATCAAATCTATTGTAAGTTATGGTCCATTTACATAATGTTGTCTTTGAATTTCATAATACTTTCGTCAGGTAGGTACTAAACATTGAAGTTTTTATATCACAACCAGCTGGAACGTTGATGTGTTGATATTTTGACAACTAGACTGTCGCCTTCGTCAGACCATTGTATAGGGCAAAGATGCTTCACACTTATCATCTGTCTGATGAAGATGACAGGGTAGTCATTGAAATGTCATATATGTTTTTTTCTAAGTGGTTGTGATATATCAGGTAAGTACATCCATTCAGTTGTCTTTGAATTATCAAAGACAAATTGAAGTTCCAGGTCCAACCTTCCTTGATGTATCACGAAGTAATTACAGTCATAATATTGTTGGGGAAATATTCAATGGATCGGAACATCAAAGAACATAATACAAAGAAATGTAGGCAAAATAACAGATAAAATGGTACATTTTCCATATGGTTTGGTAGACATTTTGGCTGGTAAATCAGTACATGTATTTAAAAGTACCCAGGAGCTTCTTAATTTAACATTTCTCAAGTTTAAACTATTTTCATCATCGATCGTACATCGTAAATAATCACAACTTTTAATAAGAAATTTTGCAGGTTGTTTTATAATTCAATCAAGACTTCCAATCCTCTCATGTTGCGTACTTCATCCATAGTAAGAGAGAAACTGTCTTATGAATGGTGAGGGTGAGGGTTTATAAAATCATAGTAAATATATGTGTAAAGGTTATCATAGTTTACACTGATGCCAGCATCACAGAAATGGCCACCTCATCTATCGCCTTCATCTAAAAACATGTTTTTCCTATTGGGAAACAGGTTCCATAGCAGTCCAGATAAAAAAGTGCTTTACCTCTCTGTCAATTATGTAACCATTCCTTTGAAGGAGTGGACGAATCAGAACTTTGATATAATGTAACAATTTTCTGAGAATGTTTGCCCAATCATAATTTACACTAGATGATGATGCCACTTGTGACCCCAGTGTACTATTATCTGACCACAGTTCACATGTTGTAACATGTACCAAACCAAAGAAAAAACGCAGCTGTTAACTGTTACACCCCTAAAATGAATCTCACATTGAGTTTTAAAATTTTAAGTAATACAACAGAACTTGTGTGAACTGCTCTTTGTATCTTGCCTGTATTAAGTTTATCCATCTTACCAATTCCATATGAATTTTATGTAAAATCATCTAACAGTAAACGTGTTAAATGATATCTAGATGTCTTTGATTAAGCAACACAAAAAAGAGCTCTTATATAGCAATTTGACATCAATAATCGAAATCAAACTTCTCAACAATGCTTAAACTCAGGAAAATAAAGCTAGCTTATGTGTGTATACAGAAATTAAAACCGCCTTTAAGATTTATCACAGTAGATTCAAGTGTAAAAACCTAGATTCAGGCACTGATTTTTTTATGTTTATCAATATTTAGTTCAAAGCAGTATTTCAAAAAGGCCATGCATTATACTGACTTCAAATATATTTATACCTTGGTTAAATGAACTTATCAAACTTCAGTATCCACCTAACACTTGGTAGATTATAACATCAATATCATCTGTATCTTTGAAAAACAAAAGAAAACCTAACAATGATAGCACCTGCACAGAATCTGTAGAGTACAAAAATGGCTCAATATCCCTACAGTGCTAACCCTTAACTAATGTAGCCTTGACTTTTGACCTTCATCAATTACAGCCAGACCCATATCACAGGAAGCTCCGCCACTGTTTGTGACAGAGTATAAAAATAGATTTAAAACTTGATTGGCATCAACAAAGTTATGCATCTGCTTTTCATCAACTGTGGTTATTGAGATATATCTTAGATATATCAAATATTTTTATAGCAATGAAAACCTTAAAATTTTCTTTTCTGTAAAACTCCTTTTAAAAACCTAAAAGCAGATCTAATGTTATTTATTGAAACGATAATGCCAAAACATTAGAATCAGAAAAATGTTTGGATCTCAATACTGTTTCAGTGGTTATTTTTTTTCTTATAGAAATTCTTATTCATGAACTTGTATGATGATTTAATATTGAATTTATTCTGTAATTTTTCTCTCTCTCTCTTTGTTTTGCATGTTAAACTCCTTTATGTTTTAACATGCAGATTTGGAATCATCCATCACTGTAACAAGCACAAAGTCTTTTAAATCTCGTTAGATTTGGGAATGGGAGATAACTCCCGGCCTGCCAAACCTTCAGGAGTGCCATATTCAGCCAGGCTTATATGTGTACACTTTGTGGGGCAGTGGTACACTGTGGTTGATGGGGCACTGCTTCTTCTCAAAGAAGAGCCTATGGGGTATCACACAGGAAGCAATCAGCAGCAGATTGACTCAGAAGCTTTGTCAAACTGCCCTTCAACTCATCTTTAAGTTGTGTCCTTCACCTTTACGTTTGTACAACTCAGCAATCGTGACAACGTTTGATTGTATATCAGACAACCATACCCCATGATAAAAACAGTATATAAAAGTCACCATGACAAAACTGTCTATTCCATCACTTGTTGATGTTGTCAATTTCACCAATGTTTTTACGGGCTGGGTCAGCATGGACGGTGAAACCGAGAATACTACTGTCAATCTTGGTCATCTTCTTCTTCTTCTTGCCTTTGGCTTTCTGGGTCTCAAACTCGTTGACTTGGTTTGAAGGCTGTGACTGGCGGAAGTCACGGGCAGGAGCAGGCCCCCAAATACTGTCCTGAAATTCAAAGATAAAATTGTACATATGTAGATATTTAAAAAAAAGTCTTGTGTACAAGGAATTGCCTCCATTTGCCAGTATTTAATATCATCTTAGAATAAAACCATATTTAAACTTAAAACTGCTTGTAAAACATGCATATGTATGGCTGCAACAGATAACTGACGAATAATTATCTTTAATTAAATGAATATTAATGAACTATCTTTTACAACAGGAAACTGCAATCATCAAGTACCCTTAGTTTCCAATATAACCTCAAAATAATTTCCTTAAAATCTGAAAAATTAAAAGTATCTGGGTCAGAAATTGTTTCAACAAAGCCTTGATCAATTTTACATCAGTAATCGTCATAATTAAGTCTTAACACAAATCTTATGTCTAATTAAAGGTAGACTATTCCAATTTCAATTTATGCTAAAGGTAGAATATATCATTTTCAATACACACTAAATACACTAATATAACTGAAAATTACCCCCGATATCATCACTTTAAATTCCAATATGATAAAAATCCTTAAACACTTTTATGCTGAAAAATCTGATAAAAATCATGATTTTATATATGATGTACAAACCTCAGGTTGATGCTGTTGTTGGCGACTTTTGTTTCTGTTTTGGCTCCTTCGCTCCAAAAATTGTTTAGCAAAGTCAATGGATGCCTTGTTCTCTCCAAGATAAGATCGTACGTAATCATGCACCTGGTAAATGTAAAAAGTCAGTAGAAAACAACTTTATTCTAAAATCATTGCCTCAATGTTGTATTTAATTCATTATATCAAATAAAATGATCAGTTACAAAACTTTGTTCTATAATCAAGAAAACAAAATAAAGACATCAATGCCTCTTACTGGTCATGCATTACAAGCCGTAAACAAGAACTTCCTTTAGTCATGCATGACGGTTGTGAATGGGCCTTCTTTGATATTGGTCACAGATTACAAGTTATCAAATGGCTCCGAGAGATCTTTACACAAGAGTTTAATATCATTTACGAAGAGTACAAAGTAAAGAAAATGATGACAGTATATATTATATAAAACAATGTTTGATGTCATTTTTCATTCTTTATAAAAATACAAAACAAGAATTACCTCATATGGAGAATCCACTTCTTTCAAGAAGGAAATAAATGTTGGGACTGTAAATATAATAAGTTATATATATTATGTTGTTGTTAAAGTTGATTTAAAACATTAATGTTAAAGTTAGATGGTGATTAACGTCCCATCAACTGCTATGGTCATTTAAGGATGGCCTCCCTATATATCAGGTAAGTGTATGTGCTGAGTGCATAAGCTTGTTGGGGGTGGGGAGAAGGCAGTTGTGATATGTATCAAATAGAACTGACATTCATCAGACAGTACTTGCCATTGCTGGAATGGCATTATGATATTAAAACAAATGTAATAACTGTTTATGTTAATACAATCATGTCACCCCTCATTTGACAAGAGCATATTTCTCTTGCTCTTTACATAACATTGACCAGACTTTGACCAATAACCTTGACCTATGGTAATACAAAGTGACTCCCTATCTAAATCCAATTATCTTTGATTAATTATATCATGCAAATTATTTACAAGCTACAAGATATAAAATCTCACTACACATTTTCTTCATGATGTCATTACAAGATACTTACAATTTATCTGTTAATCCAGTGACTTGTCCATTTTAAATAGTAACAAATAATTTAAAATTTTACTTTGACCTGAATTTGACCTGACAACATATATATGTAAACAGGTGACTTTCAAGTAACATAAAAATATCTGAAAATGATCAAAAGTTATGACCCAGAAACACAATTATCAAAACTTGGAAGTTTCTGTACGGATGATGAATTTCCATCAGTTGTTAAATGTGACCTCTGACCCTTTTAACCTTAAATGATAACCCCCTTAGTTAAATGTAGAACTTGATGTTATGATACTATGAGATAACTAGGAACTAAATCTGTTGAGAGCTTCCTAAGATCTGGTATTGATTTTTAACAGGACAAACGGACAGACATAGGTAACACTATATGCCCTTCCAACATCACCCGTGCCATCATGAAAAATTCACTTATTTGACCCAAGACATGAAGGTTGCAGTAGCCTAATTATCTTACATGATTTTAATATAGTAATATCTGTTACAATTAAAAAGTTATGGCCATAACAAGACTTTAATGAAAACTTGGTACATATTTGATCATTCAGGGATCTCAAAATTATAACCAAGAAAAGATTTCAATATTAGGTCTACTAAAAGAATAATTTTAAGAAGAACCAGTATTAATACAAGAAGTCTCCCTTCATTCTAAGAGGAGACAATTCTAATCATAGACATGACAACCCATGTACCAAAGGACATCACACTAAAAACACATTGTTTTGACAATTGAATTGAAATAATGATATACCCTCAATTATGTTGTGATGCAATTTCCTTACTATACCCTATTCCATATGTCTAGTTTGACCAATTAAATTATTTTGGAATTCCCTCTAAATACAGTGGTAAAAGATCCAGTGTACACTTACTGTCTACTGATGTGGCCATATTCCTGAGCTCTCTCTCACACCACTGAGTAAAGTCGTCCCCCTTGGAAATGCTGCCCTGAAATAACTTCTGGACTGCCTCCTACATAAAGACACATTTCAAATACTTAGCACACACATATAATCATATATATTATTAGTTTATCATATATAAAATAGTTAAATTATAGTTATTATGTAATGAGTTTGAGAAATTTCAGTAAGAATTTAGTGACTGAGGTCTTTACCTCCTCTTTCTTCAACTTGGATGGCTTTGGTTTGCTAGTGGTATTAGCAATTGGTGCTGACACATTGGGTTGGCCTCCCTTCAGGGCAGGAAACTCAGCATTGTTTGTCTGCCCACCACTAAGAAATCAAAATATATACACTGACCTCTGCTACTCAATAAAACTTATCATCTATATTAAATCATTTGCTTTAATGTTTTGATTTTTCAATTTACAAAGAGTGAGAGAATTTTACAACACTAGATGTGATTATATTTTACAACAGGAAGGAATGAACACACAAAACTTTATACTGTTATGATAATCAGTTTATAAGATTCATGTCTCTATCACCATTATTTTGGTAAGAGACTGAAAGACATTTGAGTAATTTTTTTACATAAGACCAGATGAGGATATCTTTTTACCTGTTCCTGGAGGAGGCAGCAGGTGCACGTTTAGATGAGATGATAGCATCGTCCCAGAAGCCAAGAGAACCTGCCCCATTACTGGTACCACTGTTCTGTTGTGAACTTGTCTGAGCTCTTACAGCATTTCCCCATGCCCCCTCACTGGCCCAGTGTGAGGGGGAGGTAACTCCGCCCCAGACACTTGCTGCACCAAGTGTCAGGTTCTACAGGGTACAAGATAGCATGCCATTTCATTCAAAATATAGAAACAGAACTATATTTTAAATAATATTCAATTTTTTCAAAAGACACATGTCAAAGGAAAAAGCAAACTTTAACTTTTTCAGCGATAATACTTTCTAGCCTATACAGAAAAATCAATATACCTTTGTCTGATTCTGTTGAGTTTGTTGTCGTTCACTTTTACGTTCTGTCTCCTGTTGGGACTGTTCTTCCTGGATCTCCAACAGAGTTTTTCCATTACCCTGAATGGGGATTCTGTATATCCACAAGTAAAAAGATAATATATAATGTTACCAGAGTCAGTTATAACAATTACATTTTTACATGCTTAAGTTGACTCAAATTAAGTTTGACTCCAGGATAGAATCTTCAACATGAGGCCCAAGGGCCTTAACGATCACCTGAGTTACAATGCTGTCATTCTTCTTGTGAAATGTCATAATAAAAGCAAGACAACTTGAAAGTGTGCATGACATTATCTGCCATACAATCGACAATTTTGGTGCACCTTTGGTCATGGAAGGGTTTTTGTAAAATTTCAGTGAAATTGGTTCAGGTTTTTTTCGAGAAAGTCAAAAATGTTTTAAATTTATTGCGCACCATATTGGACAAAAGGCTATTTCAATTGGTCTTCATGACCTTGTCTCAGGTGACCTAGAAAAACTCTACACTGGATCAATTAACAACTAGGGCTGTAATGAGTACCCAAGTACCAATATACAGGTTGGGTTTGAGAGAAAATGGTGAAGTTCTGAGTAGTCAATTTTTCTGAACATTATTTAATTTTAGTCCATTGTTGTCATCATAACATTGTCTATTCATCCTGGAGGTATGGGACAATGCATCTATTTATCCAGTTAAGAGGCCAAGGATCTATTTATCCAGGAGGTGTGGGACCAAGGATCTATTTATCAAGGTGGTGTGGGACCAATGATCTATTTAACCAGGTGGTGTGGGACCAAGGATCTATTTATCAAGGTGGTGTGGGACCATGGATCTATTTATCTAGGTGTGGGACCAAGGATCTATTTACCCAGGTGGTGTGGGACCAAGGATCTATTTATCAAGGTGGTGTGGGACCATGGATCTATTTATCCAGGAGGTGTGGGATCAAGGATCTATTTATCCAGCAGGTGTGGGACCATGGATCTATTTATCCTGGTATTGATAAAAACCTTAAATTACAACTTTGGCTCTAGTAAATCTATTTCTGGTTACAGATCATATGGACCAGGAAAAAAATTCTATGCAAATCTTCCATACAATAAACATATACACAAATTCTTTGTCTCCCTGACAATAACATGAGAGGTCTGTCATTTGTTAACTATCTTCTATAGAGGTGATGTTGTTTAATAAAGGTGATACCCACACTTGACTAGACCAGGATTTCTGTTGTTGCTGCTGTAAATTCATCATCTGTTGACGTTGTGCCTCTGCTTTACGTTGTTGCATTTGCATCTGTGGAGAACATCAGTTAAAACCAATTGAAAAAGAACCTTTTCCATTATTAAAGAAGGGAGGAAAGAGAATGTCAAACAAATGTGTAACATGTCTAAATATTTCCCAGTTTATGTCTCTGATTTTCTGGCATTTCTCTGTAACAGACAATTTACCAACAAAGAGACAAATGGACTTTATTAAATGTGTAGAAGTTTTTGCCTTGATATGAACCAGGAAGTTTTGAAAGCCAATTTCTACACACAGGTGACTGAGGTGACTGGTGCATAATGCATATTTGCTAATTTTGTTTTTGTATTCATTATCCTTAAGTTGGTATAGAGATTTGTCTTTAAGAATCTCTTCCCAAGAATAAAACTTAGAAATGTTTTCATTTAGTATATTGTTTGGATGTAAATCACACCAAATTTCATTTCAGCGTGTCTGCAAACTAAGTGAAAGTTGAATTTTAAAAACTTATTCCAACAACAAATATTCAAGTGAAAAAAAAAGACAACTTTGTACCAACATTCATCCTGTATCATTAGATATTTCACATAATAAGCAAGATATTGCGATTATGTTTGCATATACTAGAAGACTGAAAATACACATACAGATTCTTGTTCATAGCGTTCCCTCTCTTCCTGTTCCTGAATTTCCAATAGGGACTGTGTTTTACTGGACACTCCGCTGGCCCCCATAGCATTTGTCTGCTGGTTTGCCCACTGGGCATGGGACGGTAACTAAACCAAAAAAAATAAAATAAAAATGCATTAGTTTAAAGTTGAATATTCACCTGATAACACATTCAATTGCAACTGGCACTATCTTTCCCATATAACTTATGTGTAGTTGAATTATTCTTCACGGTAATACTTTTTCAATGAGAACTACAATAGTAAAACTTCTACGGTTTAACACTCTGGAGCATGAAAGAGTGTTTAGTTTTATCTGGTCAGTTTGAGATAAACTCTGAAGAAAGACCAGAATATTAGTCATCATATTTATAGAACTATTGAATCCAACAAGTCTCTGATGTTACTATCAAAATTCAATGAATTTTTACTTATTAAAGCAAGATTCATATCAAATTTTTCAAGACACATGTAGTTAAGAAGAGTATGTTTCGAGAAATTCAGACAATACTACCATATCTTTCAAGATGTATTACTATTCACTTTCAAGGTTGCATAAAGAAAGACAGAACAGAAATAATGTAAGTGGAACTTTTGCTCGACCCACCTCTACCATAAACACCAGACCTGTATTTCGCTGGGTCTATATGTACTATGAAGAGTACCTGTGTTTGGCACAGTCTATCTATGCTATGAAGAGTACCTGTGTTTGGCACAGTCTACCTGTGCTATGAAGAGTACCTGTATTTTGCACAGTCTACCTGTGCTTTGAAGAGTACCTGTCTTTGGCACAGTCTACCTGTGCTATGAAGAGTACCTGTCTTTGGCACAGTCTACCTGTGCTATGAAGAGTACCTGTCTTTGGCACAGTCTACCTGTACTATAAAGAGTACCTGTCTTTGGCACAGTTTACCTGTGCTATGAAGAGTACCTGTCTCTGGGACAGTCTACCTGTGCTATGAAGAGTACCTGTCTTTGGCACAGTCTACCTGTGCTATGAAGAGTACCTGTCTTTGGCACAGTCTACCTGTACTATGAAGAGTACCTGTCTTTGGCACAGTCTACCTGTACTATGAAGAGTACCTGTCTTGGCACAGTCTACCTGTACTATGACGAGTACCAGTATTAAGCACAATTAACCTGTATGATGAAGAGTGCGTTTGTTTGGCACGGCCTACCTGTTCTATTAGAAATACCTGTATTTGGCACTGACTACCTGTTCAATTAGAAATACCTTTATTTGGCATGGCCTACCTGTTCTATTAGAAATACCTGTATTTAGCTAGATCTATCTGTGCTTTACAAAGTACCTGAATTTTTGCCAGTTGATCCTGCATTTTTGCCATCTGTTCCTGCTGAAGTTTGCGAAGTGCCTCTTGCTGTTTGTGCTGTAATTCTTGTTGTCTTTGTGCTTCCTACAACATACCACAAACCACGATCAATAGAAAGTAATGATGGAACATCAGTTAAAATTCATGATCGATTATCTGTTAAAATTGGATAAGCTTTCCGATGTAATTTATCATTTACACGTTCGGCTGACTGTATGTTCAGTACTCATCGAAAGTGAATGCATTCTTCATTGCAGTAATATTTTATTTTTTTTTTATTATAGTATCTTTAAGCTAAAGTACCGGACTTATCAAGAATTTGCAAATAATAAATATTATTGGTAATTAACATATTCATTATACATAACACCTATCAACATAACCGTGTTTCTGTAATATCTAGTAACATCTCATTGTTTCTGTAATATCTTGGTACTAACTTGTTGTTTATGAAGTAACAACCCCTTATTTCTGTAATATCTAGTAACAACACCTTGTTTCTGTAAAATCTATTAGAGTAACCAACCTGTTGTTTCTGTAATATCTATTTTAAACCATCTGTTGTTTCTGTAACATATGATAAACATGTTCATCCTGTAATATCCAGTAACCATCCTGTTGCTTCTAGTAACATATCTGTAGTTAATTGTTATATAGATGTTTCTATTAATATTTTATTAATACCAGTTTATTTCTGTAATATTTGTTAATACATTGGCTGTTCCTGTATTATCTAGTAACTAACCTGTCGTTTCTGTATTTCCAGCTGTTTCTGTTTTTCCATCTCTTCTTCCTCCTGTCGTTTTATCTCCTGCTGTCGCTGTATCTCTTGTTGGCGTATTAGTTCCTGTCGCTGTATTTCCTGCTGTCGTAAGTCTGCTTGCTGTCTTTGTAGCTCTTGCAGTCTATAAATAAGACGTAGTAAATAGATTTGTTATTTCTGACTTGTATTTCCTTAGACAATATAAAATTTGATGTTTTAAAAGCTAATTGATATGCCTTCTGGTTTCATTGCTATCATCCTGATTCTCATTTTGAAAATGTAACCTTACCTGGGTTATTTACATGATGGGTATCGTTGATGAAGCAGCTGACATTTTCTGAACATTTTCTGAACAATAAAGATTTTTATGAGAGTCTGAATGGCTGTATTATTACAACTTTGGTATTCTACTGTGTTATTTTGTTAACTCTCCAGTATTCCTTGTCACTCATGATTAAAGATGCATTTGTATCTTGATGACACCAGCTGTACATACTTAATAGCCTTATTCAATTAACAGATAATAAAAATCATTTCATGTTAGTAAACACAATTGTTAATTTCAACTATGTAGTCACCATAAACAGATCTCACCTCATTTCTTCTTCCCTTCTTCTTCTTAGTTCCTCTTCCTTCTGTCGTCTGATTTTGTCTTCCATTTGCCGTCTCTCTTCTTCTGCTTTTCTCCTTTGCATTTCTTTCTCTTCACGCATTTGTTTCTCAGCTTCTTCCTTCTGTCTCATTTCCTCTAACTTCTGTGACCAATTAATTGTTACAATGAAAACATCAACTCAGTTTGATACAAGTAATTATCTCTTATACTCCAGACTACCAACAGTATAACACAGTATAACACAGTATAACACAGAGACTTAATGTGTTTCTGACTTACTGTTTTTTCTGTGTTTCATGATTAGGATGCTGTGTTGTACAGTAATCAGCATTTCATTTCTCAGAATCATCATAAAAGCTCAAATACAAAAGAATCTTCTCCAGATTATTAAATAAGATCACCTATTTATGGGTGATAAAGGGGAATCATGCTGAAGTACCAGACAGGAAACTGTAACTCAAAAGAGAATGCTATTATTAATGTAAACATGAGGCTTGCAATTTAGAAGTCTCTCGGTGAGGTTTGAATATCCCATTTTACCATTATGAGGGTATATTTTTCCTATCCTGCTAAGTTTTGTATGTGTTGTTATCTTGATACTCGGTGGTAAACGTGTTTCTGCTATAAAAGGGGAATGATTAACTCTAGGGCAAGACAAACAGTGGATACACCTGCCAAGGACAAGAGAAATGACAGCCCTGGTGGTATTAAGAATTTGGCTGTTATCAAATCTACAAGGATTTGGCAATAAAATTCATTACAAGTTTACTTTCATGTGTCGAGTGCTCGCCAATGTACCAGGCATGCATTTAAAGTAGGATGTTGATATTTCATTTTAACAATCAAGGGAACAACAAGAATATTTCTTTACCTTCAATTCCATATATTTCTGTCTTTCTAATTCCATTCTCTCTTTCTCTCTTTGTATTTCTTCTTTTTGTAATCGGAGTTCTTCTTGTTTTCTGTGAAATAGTTCTGATCGTAGTTTTTCCTCCTCTTCTTTTTGGCGTTCATCCGTTTCCTACAGAAAAAAATGCACATAATGTTGATGGCTGCTTCAGTTTTACAATTGAATTCATCACTCACTAGGTTTATCGTTAAATGATTATTTCCAAAATATAACGATCCTTTAACATTTCCATAATAAATACCTTTCTCGCCTTCTCAAGTTGAGCTTCTAAGTCTGCTGCAGATATCACAGATTTTGGATCTAGGTCCCACACACTGCCTGTTCCTTGCGATAAAAGATCTGTAAAATTAAAGCAAAAGGAAGCCATTATACATTTGTTCAGGACGTTTATTTATCTTCTTTGGGCGATTGTTAATGGTCATACATTTTCATTTAAGCATTTTAAAGGTTTCAGCTGCATGTGTACTCAGAATAAATATTTCATTTGTTAAAGAATGTCTAAACAAAATATTCACAGGTGAAAAAATAAATATTTGATCTTAATGAGTTTAACCTTAATCTAGATAACAAAAATTTTAAATCTTTTTGAATATAATTCTCAGCATTAATAAGGTTTCAAGAAAGTGTGTCTCTCAAAAATTATCAAAGAACAAGGACAAGAAACTGTTCCCAGATGGAGGGATGGACACATTGTAGATTTTGCAATAAATAGCTTCATTACTAATATACAGGATTATTCTTGCCCTCCATATGGTAAGTAACTGCAAGCAGACTATGTAATTCTATTTTCAAAATCTCCGCTATAATTGTAATATTCAGTTTCAACAATAGAAGGAAAAAGTGATCAATGAGGACTTTTTAAATGGAGACCAAATAATCTGGGAGGCACATACACTAGAAGTTAAATCCAGCAATAAGAAACAGATTTTTTTAAGGTGTGCTGATGACCATTTTTGACATACCTTGAACAGCTGGGTTAACACTTCCCCAAATTGACCCATCATCTGTCTGTGGTGGTGACTTGGTGAGGTCGGCGGGCTGAGACATTGAGCGGTGAAATGTGTGGGACATTGGTCTAGGGGACTCACCACCCACCCGCTCTGTAGGGGGAGACCTGAAAAGTATTACAATAATATATATAATGTTATACAGTGTTATTATATAACAAAAATGGGTGGGACCATTTTGAAGCAACTTTTATAGGCCTTACATACAAGTACACCCCCTTCCCAAAGAAAATGTGAGGCCTTGGGGTCATGAAATTTATATCTTTGGAAAAAGACCCTTCCATTCATAAAAAAGAATTTGATTCTACTATATCTGGGCATTGAAATTGTTTATATTTAAGTCAATCTGGCCACTTTTGGTCCCACCTTTTCGGCCTTTGAGATGGGCAACATAAGTCAACAATTTTGGTTTGCCTTTTCCAATAGAAGGATTTTATAAAATAGCTTCCAAATTTGTTCAGGATTTTAAGAGCTTACTGGTTACAGACACAAAATGCTTGATGCGTGATCATGGAATAAGGACGATTGGAACAGGTAACTTTGAAACTTTGTCTCAGACTGTAATATATACTTGATACACAAACTCAGATTTAGTTAACAGAGTAACTATATATACCTTGGAGACAGTTTAGGGTCGGACTGGACCGCAGGCACAGGTAACATAGCAGACTGTTTGAGAAGGATCTGTGTCGCCAGCTGTTGCTGATGTAGAGGTGGGAGGTTTTTAAAGTCTTCATTTTCCTGTAATTGTGTCATCACCTGTTGCATCTGAAAGTGTCTATAACAAACAAAATGATGATATGTAAGCTGTTTTCTAAACTTCTTATAGATACATATTTATTATTGATTAAAACTTAATACAAATGAAAATGAAAAATTTCGGTGACATCAGTAAACTGAACTAAAAACCATCTTTTCGTATATAATTACTGGACTAAGTACCATCCGTTGGTGCATAGTTAAAGACCTGAGTATAATTTGTTGGCATATACTTACAAATCGGAGTACCATCTATTGGTGTATTACTCACTTGAGTACTATCTGTCTGTATAGTTACCCATCTGAATACCATCTTTTAGTGCATAGTTACTGACCTGAGTACTGTGTGTTGGTGTATAGTAAATAACCAGAGTACCATCTGTTAGTGTATAGTAACTAACTTGAGTACCATCTGTCAGTGTATAGTAACTAACCCGAGTACCATCGGTCAGTGTAAAGTAACTCACCTGAGTACCATCTGTTGATGTATAGTAACTCACCCGAGTACCATCTGTAGGTGTATAGTAACTAACTCGAGTACCATAGGTCGGTGTAAAGGAACTCACCAGAGTACCATCTGTTGGTGTATAGTAACTCACCTGAGTACCATCTGTTGATGCATCATATGTTGTTGTAAAGCATACTGATGCTGTAGACGTTTAATGTGGTCCTGTTGTTGTTGTGATGCCAGGTCAGGACTTGCTGGCCTCTGAGGGGAATTCTTAACCAAAAAAAATAACAAATCAGTGATTGTGAATCTCATTTATGGTAGCCAAAGCAAAATGCTTTTATTTTACTGTCTCAATGACTGGTATCTAAATCAAATTTGAGGCAATCAAGGTTACATATAACATAAAAAAACAACTAGAGAGCCAAAATTTAATCAAGCAACGCTCTGTTTTTTCATGTTGTCACTTTTCCACATAGTTCTTACCAATAATGGAGGAGGTGCTGAACCTGGCAAAAATGGAACTCTTCCCCATCTCTTTATTAATTCTCCTGAAATTACAACACTTCTTTCAGATAATTTGAATAACGTGTCAAAGTACTAAGAGTATTGTTAAAAATATGTTATCTCCCATCTTCTGAAAAACTGAAAAATTTAGAAAAAATTTTTTTGTTAATCATCAAGTATTGGAAATGACTATTTCGAAAATTTTCTACATCAAGATGTAAATGAATACAAATGATCATCTTTCACAGCAGTTAACCAAACCGTGGGACTATTTCCATTTTTATCTGATAATTCAGAAATACTAATAAATGACCAACTAAGTGAAGGAACATGTCAGATACCTAGCGGTGAATACCGGTCATCACATCCCCGCTTCACTTTAAGATTCATGGTGAAATAGCCAGCACTAAACCATTCTGCCATCTCACTTGAGGCAAAGGGACCTGGTCATGGAGAAACAAAAGATATTGTTAGATTCTGAAGTTTGATGTAAATTAAAACCTGGAAGCTATTTTTGTCTTTGTATTTCCCAATAGAATTACAGGTCAAAGTAGAGTTATTGCCATCATTGTCTGCTGCATGAGTGAAATATTTATTTGTGCACTTTAACTGCAGAATATTTCTGTATACTTTCTTGGAAGGACCCCTTAAAAATAATGAAAAGTCATTAGAATAGGGAAAATCTAAAATTTCTCTCATAGTATCAAAATTTCAGAAGGGATATTCTTTAGAAACCAAACAAAATGGGATACTTTTGAGGTATGATGGGATATTCTTTAGAAACCAAACAAAATGGGATACTTTTGAGGTATGATGGGATATTCTTTAGAAACCAAACAAAATGGGATACTTTTGAGGTATGATGGGATATTCTTTAGAAACCAAACAAAATGGGATACTTTTGAGGTATGATGGGATATTCTTTAGAAACCAAACAAAATGGGATACTTTTGAGGTATGATGGGATATTCTTTAGAAACCAAACAAAATGGGATACTTTTGAGGTATGATGGGATATTCTTTAGAAACCAAACAAAATGGGATACTTTTGAGGTATGATGGGATATTCTTTAGAAACCAAACAAAATGGGATACTTTTGAGGTATGATGGGATATTCTTAACCAAACAAAATGGGATACTTTTGAGGTATGATGGGATATTCTTTAGAAACCAAACAAAATGGGATACTTTTGAGGTATGATGGGATATTCTTTAGAAACCAAACAAAATGGGATACTTTTGAGGTATGATGGGATATTCTTTAGAAACCAAACAAAATGGGATACTTTTGAGGTTTGATGGGATATTCTTTAGAAATCTGATGATTCCTTTGACCTTTTTCAACTTGGAAAACATCAGATGATAAATTCTATGTAACCTACCTTGGACATCTCCTTGGGGATCTAAATAGAACCACTTTTTTGTATTTTCATCTTCTTGTGAACTTTCCTCTTCTTCCTCCTAAAAGTTTATCAATGACATTTACTCAAACTCACCATTCATTCCACATCATACTTAGAGAATCATTTTCCCTGATTTAAACAGTTTAATATCTAGGATCCTTGAATTTTTTTTTTCAATCTAAATTAAGTTTTTAAAAAATCATCATTTCAACTTGTCAACATCAAAATAAGAAAGTTGAAACTGAACCAATTTGTTTTATGAATGCAATTGTCTATTTCCAGCATAGACAGACTAAAACATGACAAAGACACACCTATATCTATCCCCACATTTCACTAAAACATGACAAAGGTAGTCCTACATCTGTATCCACTTCAGACTAAAACATGACAAGGACACACCTATATCTATCTCCACATCACACTAAAACATGACAAATCTATCTCCACGTCAGACAAAAATATTGAAAACTTAGTCCTACCTCCGCCTCGACATCAATTGCCTCCAGGACCATATTCTCTGCTTTCTCCTTCAGTCTATCTAGAGCTTCTTGCTCCATCTGGGATTCTTTCTTGGATGAGGATTTTTTTGTAGATTTGGTTTTAGATTCTGCAGCAGATGGAGCACTTTTTTGTTTTTGAGCACTACTTTGAGTTTCACTGGATACTATTTCAGCAGTTTTACTTTGTACTGAAGTTTGTTTCGTATCTGAAGTTGACCCTGTTGAGAGATTTGATGGTCTCTTATCGTCCAACACTTTACTATTTGGTCGCTCTACCTCCTGTGATGAAAGCTGTTGACTAGACTTGCCTTGCACATTTCTATCTTTATTGTCTTTATCAATTTGAGGTGATCTGTCTTTGTCTTCCTTCACAGATGTATCTGTCTCTTCATCATCTTTCCCATTATTATATCCACTTTCAGTGTCATTTTTGTCTTCCTTAGAATCATGTTTGTGTTGTGAATTTGTGGGTGAATCACGTAGTTTTAATCCTGGAGCAGCCTTTCTGTCCTGATTATCATCAGGATCGCCCTTTCCACCTCCTCTTGCCATACCTTTTAACTGCAACTGAATAATGAATGTGACATTTCAGAACACATAACAGTGATCAGTCAATGGTCGTAGAGTAGAAACTTTTAATACTTTTGTTGCTTTAGACAAACCATGAAAATGCAATGAACAAGTCTTCAAATTAAAGAATTGTTAGTATAGATCTGTCTTATCAATTAAGTTTTTACTCATAACTTAATGCATTTAGTATGGGAAAGTTTGGAACATGAAAGAAAGTTCCCACAAATCTTCGATGTTATCCAGTACAAGTTACAAAATAAACTTTTCATACCAGTTTTTGTTTATTTCCAGCAATTAAGGAATATTGGAAACATTTTAAAGTGGCATTCAAGGATTGTGTTGATTTTTCAAATTGTACATTGATCTCTATACACTGAACAAACTAGGTGGTGAATCTATGTGACAAATTCTTCTTTTAAGAAAGACCACTCTCCTCTTCCTCACCACCGCAATTCCATGAAAATGACTTACTGGTAATATGTAAAATAACATATACATAACACTACAACTATGGCTATTTCTCTATAATTATCACTTTAACATTTCACACAATCCTTTTAATTTTACAATTCCCTGATCTGTTGATTACTTTTATTTTTATTCAGAAAAAAATATCATTTATACACATCAGAAAATAATATCACCATGTCCATTGTTGTGGCCAACAATTGCTGCCATAATGTTATCAATTAATAGATGTGAGGCTTTTAACAGCACGAGAGACAAAAAAAAAAAAAAAAAAAAGCAGCTTGACCAGCTCTAGCTTTAGGGGTGATTTAATGAATATAGTATTTTTTAATTTTCCTTTATGCTTTAATATGATAGAAATAAGAAAGTTAAAGAAATCTCAAACCCTCCAGATAAAATGAAAGGTCTATGGATTCCCAATATGTACTGCATTTTACTGAAGCAGCTAGGCCTGCAACCATACTAATAGTAAAATGTCTCGAGTGTTCACCTTATTAAACACAAATGCTCCACTGGAATCAAATGTGCCAGGCTCCTCTACATCATCTGAGTCAGGCATACTCCATTCCGGTAAGTTTTCACCTGTGGCAGACAAAACATTCTATCATTACCTCGGTAATTTCCTTATATGGTTAAATGGTAAATTTTTGTAGAACAGATGATCCAATTGGCCGTTGCTTCAATGTTAATCAATGCTTTTCTTCAGTAAGTTTATATCTCTCAGAATTGACATTCAAATGGGATACAACCCTAATTAGTGACTAACTTTAAAACAAGCAAGTGTATCACACTCAGAAATAAATGTTATTTATCTAATGGTGCAATTCTTTTTTGGAATGGGTCAAGGTCATTTCATTCTGCAAGCTTTTGTCAGGTTTCATCTAAAGAACCTACCAGTTGAATACATAATTCTAGGTCCTTTAGTTAATCAGAAAGAGTCATTTGTGCGTTTTAGCCAATGTGATCACTGTTAACTTGAATATGGGTCAAGGTCATTTCTTTTCACAAACTGTTACGCTTCATCCTTTGATGTTTCAGGCAAATACGATGACCCTTTATATCATAATCACTGAGAGTTTATCAAACAATAAAATGGATGATATAAACTCACTGGATCCTTCAGGCCAGGTGAGCTTTATTGTAGATTAATGAATCAATGACATCTGATTTAGTGAAATTGCTTTAGATGAACAGATAGTGACGATTTGTATACAGGGAAACTTCTTAACAGTCCAATTTTGGCCAGTCTGTCCAGAGGACAAAAGAAAAAAGTTTAAAACTTTGTTTTCATATATATTATTGTGAAAATAACTGTGGGCTAATGTTTTCCCTTCCTTCAATAGCACAGGTCTATTTTTCTCTAAATCAAACCTGTTCATGTTCTAATGTTCAAGTGTATATACCCTACCTTCATCATCCCAGGATTCACTATTTCTGCTCCTCTGGTATGTCCTGCCCCCACGCTGTACTCCATTAGGACGAGAATCAAAACCTCCTCTCTCCCTGTTGCTCGGATCTCTCCAATTTCCTCGAGCACCTGAATTTAGCAAACAGTTTCTCTTTCTAAACAGTTTTCAACACTGCTAGAACAGAACTGTTCAATCATTTATAACTTGAACAGATTAAACTTCTAGGAAACCATCATAATAAGGAAAAAGACAATCATGTTTGAAGTGTTGATACATGGGGAAAGTATGTGTTTGCTGTTTCCTTATAAAGGCCATGAGGTCAATATCCCTGTAGATGTAAACATGTCAACATTCTGCAACAGTAATCACAATAACATTGTCATGCATTGATTATTGGCAAATATCAACAGTATTTTAACACAACGAACAAGAAGGCATTTCCTAAAGTGAACTGCTTACCCCATTTAGATGAGCCAGTTTTGCGCCAATCTCCATCCCCTTCTTCTTCTTCATCTCTACCTCTCCAATTATCTGTATTACTGACGGATCGTGTGAACTCGCGACGTGGCAAACCCGACTCATCATACCTGTTCTGGTAATTACGTTTACTCCCTCTACAAGAACAAAAATTCTCAAAAAGTTTTGAATTCTGTATGGATCAGAATGTTGTATCCCTTAAGAGTGTTCTGACAGAAACTAGTATACTGTTTCTCACAATTAGTCAATAAAACTGAAATTCAACAAGGCCTATTCAAGATGCATGTAAAGTGATAAATTAGATAGATGGGATATGACAAAAGCAAGGACAGACTACTAATGAAAGGTAAATTGAACAGCAAACATTTAGATGATAGAAACTTTACTCTGCTAACAAATGAACCAAATCTTCAGAGTCAAACAGACGAAACTATATTCTTATTCATTTGTGACTTAACACAAAATTTAATCGGTCAATGAACAATAACACAAAATTTAATTGGTCAATGAAAAGATTTGCAACAGTATAACCATGATATACCCACCACAATTAGGACCCATGATTGTTAAAGATGTCAATGACTCTAATATATCATGAAAATGACACCCGAAATGTTTGTGTCAACCTAGATGGTCATTGGATTCTGCAATTTACTAGTATTATACTGTATTATGTAAATTTACACCTGTTTTACTTTTTCACTATGTCGATGATAAACTGAATTTCTACTGGTCATTAACATTAACGAAGTACTTACACTTCTTCCCATCCATCTGTTCTAGAGGGACGACCATAACCTCCACCACCTGTTTCTTCATATGATGTCCCTCTTTGTAAGAACCCCCCTTCACCTCTTCCACGACCTAATATAAGAAACCGACACCAATTCAAATAAAACTGAAAATTATTCAATTTAAATTAGTTGCAGTTGAGGAAATTCCTGTGGTCACGTATGACACTATATTAATCTGATGAGTTGAGGAAATTCCTGTGGTCACGTATGACACTATATTAATCTAAGAAAAATTCAAACACTCTTCATTTTTTTCTCACATAATTTTAATAATGGACTTTAATCTACAACTAATACACTACTACCTACCCAAGCCTCTGCCTCTGCCCCGTTCCGGACCCATTCCTCGACCACCCCGTACACCAGGAGGCCCTCCACGTCCAAACATTCGTAAAACTGCCATACTGTTTACACTCTGTGATAAAAGTCTCTGTAAAAATAGATCAGAGATATTTGCTATTAAAAACAATACTACAATTTAAATTCCCTTTTCAGAGATAAACATGTAGTGATTTATGAAAGTACAGCAATTCATAAGGTAAATGAATTTCAATGGTGTTAGAAAAAATCACTTTAATTACCTGCTCTTCCTCAGACAGTGGTATTAACGCAAGGGGCTCTTGTGATTTTTCAACCATAACATAAGTCTGTCCTTCCAACTCTTCTGGTACCTTACTGTTTGGATTATATAGTGCTAGCATCTCCTCTCGACCATAACGATAATCTGCCAACTTGTATTTACCAAAGCCTGGCGAAGGCGGAGGAGTGCCCAAACTGTTTCCATCAGACAAAGCTCTGAGCCTAATAAAATGATAAGCAAAAATATTGCAAGTGGATGTAAAACTGTGTTTAGTTATGAAGAAAATGAGTCTATTGATATTCAAGTTTAAAGCAAGCAATCAACAGTAGATTTATTGTGATGAAAATATAAGCACTCAATTACAAATGGTAACAGACTCAGTTCAATTTTTGACTCATTAACTTGTGAAAGCTTAATTCAACTTAGAAAATTAGGTCACATTTTTCTACCTTTTAAAATATACCTATATAGGAAATGGGCTTAGCAAAAAAAAAAAAACAACCCATTTTTCAACGGTTTCAACCATCTTTTGATCTCATTTTGCATAATTTGAAATGGGGAGAGGGGGGAAAGAGAAATGCAAGTAACAGTTGGTAATTATTGTTCAACTCTATATTTAAGTAAAATGACACCTCCAACCATAAATAGTCCAAAACGAGGAAATCCCTTTTAATTCCAGCCATTGTCTATATTTAGCCAAAACATGACATTCCATGTAAATACATCTATAAGAAACTACAGAATATCCTTATGTTGGACCTTTGTAGAGAGGGCAACAGTCAGCCAGCATTTCAATGTTCTCATTAAAAGCTGATTCACAGGAAAAAGTAGCTCTTTGTTAATAAACCATGAACCAAAACAAAAACATGAAAAAATATCAAATCTATGATGAAGATCTTTATATATTTGAGGATGATCCATCCTTCTCTACTTCTCTAGAAATAGTGATCAGTTGATGATAGGATAAATGCCATTAAAAAATATATAAATTTGGTCAGTTCTATATACTTCTCATCAATGCTGGTATAAAACTCTCCACTATTGGCTGAAAGACATAGGTACTTACCATTCTGGACCAAACTTCAATGTATCTGCCATCTCTTTTCCTCTTTTGTAGTAGTTCTGATTCTGAAAAAGAAATGTGAAAATTTCATCACCATGGTTTATGATCAGAGAAAATACCCTATTTCAAATTAACACTTGACATTCTCATTAAGTTCTCAACCTTGCCCACAAGATTTTTCAGAGAAATGTTGTGAAAGATTTATATTGCTGATGTTTATAGTTAGGTCAAGTGAGAAAAAAATATATACAGCAGAAGCCAGTGATACACCAGCAAATACCAGTTTACAATAACATCCTTCTGGTAAAAGGAATTTTATCTAATAGCTTTCGTACTCCTACAATTGAGCTAGTATACTTATAAATAAAAACCAAACACATGTTGCCATGCTTTTACAGCATTCACAGATGTTGGTATAGTCTGATAGTTCACAAATCTACTACCAGAAACCAAATGGTGTGCAAGCCATGATATTGTCTCATTTGATAAGTATCATGTTGTGTCTGGGAATAAATGCCTGGGGTTTGAGGGATTAGGTTGAGCTGAAGAAACCATAAGGATTAATCAAGACAAATTTGTTCTCCGGAAAAAAATACATGTAACGCCAATCGGTAAAACAAAAGTTCGTTACAAACCAAACATTGTGTACTTAATTTTGGATCACAACACTGACTTTAACATATCAACACTGAAGATAAAAATGTTTAGGACATACGCTATGTTGCGATAGACATGCCTAAATTTGCAACACGTTGATAACTTTCTGAAGTTTCACGTTTCCTTCATTTCCTGAAATGAAGACATTCAAATTAAAACAAATATCATATTGATAATTCGTTTATACATAACCCCTAGAGATGAAGAATATGGTCGGTGTTGAAGATGAACTTCCGTGCGTAGGGTCATGTAAAATCAGCTCGAAATCTAAGAAAACATTGCGACACACAAACACGAGATCACTTGACGAAACGTGCATCGTGATTTGGCATACGGTGAACCTTCGGGACATTTTAGTTGCCCTGGCACGGCATAATGATAGAATGTGATGCTAAATAATGAAGATAAATATACGATTTAATAAATGGGTAAGCCTGTAAGCACATGCATGACAAGGTACCTGATTTTTTTGCAATGTTCAACAGCCTGAACACGAAAGCACAAAACCAATATGGCCGTGTTTGTGTATGTATCACGTGACCTTAAGGGAGGCCCCGTATACGGAAACGGAAATGCTTAGTGTAGCAGATAAAAATGTCGGATACAGACACTAAGAAAATAATTTTTAATCCAAAATGTCAAAAGAGCAACGTGAATTCGAGTAAATAGTTGGAAGACCACTTTCTTGTTTTCTTTTTATTTAGCGTCCTTTAATCGAAACACCAGTACTCAACATCTTATGAGAATGAAGGACACGTGCTTATAAAATGTTTCACTGAAGCGTGTTTTGTTTTTTGTATTTAATTTGTTTCATATATTTTGCAAGATTTTAACAAGACACGTATATCGATGGGTTTCATCATCATCATCATCATCATCATCATCATCATCATCATCATCATCATCATCATCATCATCATCATCATCATATTCTGTCAAACCGTTTGCTTTGGTTTATACAATTTTATCTGATTTTTACAAATAAGATAAAATTGTTGCTTAATATTGAATCGCCATGTATGAGTAAATCTAAAGTTAAATTATCACGAAAAGGTTGTAGTTTTCTTATTAATAGATTTGGATTCCGAGTGTATAAGGGGCAAACACAAGGACAGTGATAAGAGTTGCCTCTGTGTTACTTAGATTTGCTCTAGAGAGGTTGTAATAAAAAAGCTGGCACGGTTTCTCAAACGGAAATAAAGTATATATATTTATATATATTTAAACCTTATATATGACAGCATTTTTATTTAGTTTTTCTGTTTTAATCCTTTTAAATTAATTGAGAGTGGTCCCAGAGAGTTCCTGATACAAATATCTGTCATTCCACATTTTTTTTAGTTGATGGAGAAAAATTGCATTCGAAGGAGATACACTGGTGTTTTTGTGAGTGGAGACCATGTAAAAATGAACAGATTTATGTTTACACCTCATTTCACATCTCAAACAATCAACGATTTAATTGTTTCTTATTTTTAAGATTCTCGCATGAAACAAAATAGAAAAAAATACATTGGGGTCTCCCTTTAACCGTTAAGAAAAAGGACACGTCGACAGGAGTATTCGATCCAAGAACCTTTGGAGTTTAAGGCACGTGACAATCTTCTAGTGTTTTTTGATTGCTTTGAATTTACATTACTTGTCTCCTAGGCCCCCGGTATTACTGAAAAGTTACTTAAGTCACAGCCAGTTCATGTTACACCACTGTAATGGGGCTTTGCTGGTATTGTGACGGATGCCTGGCTCTATCTTGTAGGGTATTTACGACGGGACTCCGGACAGTAAGTTGTTTTTTAATTAGTGGGGTTAGAACGAAAATATCGGGAGAAATCCAATATGTTGTTATGCTTACACAAAGACTGATGGATTGGCTTCCAGTCTACGCGACTCCTCCCGTGAATGTACTGGGAGTGACGTTTGATGGCCTCCTTTTGAGGGGCGAAGACACGCCCACCATTCTCCCCTTGAGGTATTTCTCCTATGAGTTTCATAAAGTCGTCTGTGCGGATGTATGCTCATTTGAATATATGGTGCTGTTTTACTTAAAATTTAATGCAACTAATAAAACAACCTGCCGAGAGGTTTTCGTGTTTAAAATGACAAAATACAAACCATTATTTTCGGGAAAAAGTTGAAATATAGTTATTTCGGTTGCACTATTATATTACAGTGCCTTGAAAGGAATAGGTTTGAAACGCAGCGGTTAAGATTTTCCCTACTGTATATAGAGAATACAAAAGTGAGATAATAACACGTCTTCAAAAAGAAGCCAGGTGTGATTTTTGTGACAAGTTGGGTTTGTCACATGAACAAAGGGCCTTGAAATGGTGTTCACTTAATCGCTTAATACCTTATTTGGAAAATAAGATATGTATATATATCTATATGCGGGGCGAGTATATAGAAATAAAGAACTACACAATTGGAAAGGGGTTTTGGAGAGAAGGGTGATGGACTGGAGACTGTATTGCATATCGTAGGTAAGTGATCACGCCATTTATGTAAACGGTATGTATTTTTTTACATGCAGAATAACCTGACATAATCTCGTCTGCTGACAGGCCGTAATAGTGGACATTGAACCCGTTAGACAAATAAACAGAAAAAAAAAAACACAGATAAATAAAAAAAAAAGAAGCCAACTTTATATAAAGGAATGATTTGATTCGGACAATATAATCTAGACTTTGAATTATATTATGGAATTCATCACGTTCCCAAAATAGTTGTACAATATTTTCCATTTCAGTGTTTCAAATGTTGCAGAGAGGACAGAAAGTTCCCGAGCCTTAAACCAGATATCAGATACACCGGTAATCAAAAGAATCCTTTTTATTCCAACGAAATTTTGGTTTTATGCGTTTCAAACGCAAATAATTGTTAAATTTATTGAATTATTGAAGTCTCTTAGTAGTTTTTTCACATGAAAGCTCGAAAAAATAGTTGTCTTTTTTCCATACTTTCTCTCTAATTCAACTCACGTATGTTTATGATCTTGTGATCGTATTGTCTGTTTCGTCTTTTTTATTGCTTTCGTCCCGGAATCTGTCTGTCGTGCTGTTGGTATTTTTGTTGCGGCATAGATAAAAAAATGTTACACTAATTTTTTTTTTTAAATTGTGGATAGATTGTTGGAATGATTCCAAATGCTGTCATTACATACGAAAGAAACAACAGTCGCCTATAGGGACTAAGAATGCGCGAAATGTCACGCATTATGTTATGACGTCAAACATGACGCGCACACACGCAGTGACATTTCAGCAGCCACAGCAGAATTTTTCAAGATGACATCAATTTCCGGTCATGGGTCCCTAATATGTGGCAGGTGTTTGAACTATTTCCCAAACGTATCTATCATCAGCTGTGGAACAGGTAACTTTTGCGAGTCGAATCTTGAAAGCTTATCACAGTAGCATTCGCACATTCGCCGAGGAAATTGATGTCAACAAGCGTGTACATTTATTTAATTAATGTGACTACAGGCGCCATGCATTAAAACATCAAATATGAGAAAATCCAAATATTATATTGTACAAGTATTTTGTTAAACATCTATTGTTATTGTCTAAATCTGCCGGAATGATTTCAGAATCTTGCCAAATCCGACGTCATTTCGGAACTTCACTTCTAGTCAGCGCTTGATAGTAGTTAGGGCTAGATAGATCCGGCATAAGAAGCAATAATATCAAACACGTAATCACATCACCGGGTAATCTTGGATTGTAATTTGTCTTTCAAGCATAAGAGACGTGGGAGTAACAACGCTACACAATTGTAGAAAATAATACTACATTCATTTTAATGACTTGCGCGAACGCTGATATATAAGTCATCTGCCCAGTACTAGTATCGTCATTTTTACTCGATCAATGCGCGAAGCCGAACTTAGGACCGAGCTCTGATAGTGATCAAAAACATTTTTCGAAGTTTGAAATTTTACTGCCAATATCTGAAGATATGAAAATTCGCGAAAAAAAAACTTAAAATAATAATAATAATAAAGTGATGTTTCTTTTTACAGTTTACAACAAAATCTCTCTTTACATGTTCATTCCTTTTTTTGTCTGCGAGATAATGGAGTGCATTGAATTGCTATTTTGCACGATTTTCTTTTAATGTGTCAAGATTGACTGGGCCAAACGTCAACATAAACTTTGAAGGCGAATAGTTTTAGGTCAGTCAAAGCAATGTTGTTCGCCGAGTGCAGTGGAAGTAAGAGTTGTCTCTCTTTGCCCATCAATCGACATCTAATGTCTGATATTCTATTTAACGGAGACATTCCAAAATCTTTAAGGTCTCTGCCATTTTTATAATTTATCATGTTGTGACATTCTTTTCCTAAATTCCTCTAGCGCTCTTGCTCGCATTTAACTAGCACTTATTTCATACTTGGATGATTTCATAATTTGAAGATAATTATAAAAAAAAAATCCCCCAACTGTGTTGAATCTTTGAAAATCAATCACTTAATTCGACCTTATTGCAATCTTTTTCTATAGAACATTAATAGCTGTTTTACTGTGAATTCTTTTGAATTTCTGTATTATTTCTAGCGCTTTATATATACATATATATATATGTATATATTTCTTTTCTTTTCACAGTTATGGTTTTATGCAAGGCTTGCCATCGCAGATTACACCCATGTTGCGCTAAAGCAGTTTCCATAGCAACATGCGAAGACAAGATATGCAATTTTTGTAGAACAGTTCCTGCAATTTTACTTTGTCCCCTTTGTGGACAAGCTGATGGTACGTAATTCATTACCATGTAAAATGCGATTTTATAGCATTTACGATGAAGTGATCGTTATGGGATTCAGTACGTTAAGTTGCATTCGCGAAAACGGAATCAGAAATGTTGCTGAAATAAGCAGGTGGTATATTTGGCATCAGATGTTAAATCATAAACGTTCACTAACTCAAAAAACTGAAAGCCTTCAACACAAGACATATCAGTTGAACTAAATCATATGTCAGGGAACGAATACATCGTTAAAATCGTGACTTGTACAATACATTTTGTTTCCCTTTTTTATTTTCTGTAATGATTAGACAGTTTGAAATAATTTCTGACACCTTCTTGTTATTCTGCGTACATTTCGCATGCGTATGATAGCTGAAGTGCTCACAACTGCGTTTAGGTCTGCCACTGAGAAGTCGATACCTTGCTCTCTCTTACAGATGAGATGGACATGCTGGCTCTGTGTCAGAGATGTAGTTACCAACTCCATCACGAAGGCACGTCCATCCATACTGACCACACAATACCTCTTCCGACATGACTGACCATTGGTAGGTGTATATTGATCCGTCTGTTTTCAGTACAGGACGTGTGTCCCCACTACAGGGGTGTGAATCAACTCATCCGTGTCCTTGTTGCGGGGTGTCAATTCATCCGTGTCCTTGTTGCGGGGTGTGCATCAATTCATCCGTGTCCTTGTTGAGGGGTGTGAATCAACTCATCCGTGTCCTTGTTGCGGAGTGTGAATCAATTCATCCGTGTCCTTGTTGCGGGGTGTGAATAAATTCATCCGTGTCCTTGTTGCGGGGCCTGAATCAATTCATCCGTGTAGTTGCGGGATGTGAATCAATTCATCCGTGTCCTTGTTGTGGGGTGTGAATCAATTCAAGCGTGTCCTTGTTGAGGGGTGTGAATCAATTCATCCGTGTCCTTGTTGAGGGGTGTGAATCAATTCATCCGTGTCCTTGTCGAGGGGTGTGAATCAATGCATCCGTGTCCTTGTTGAGGGGTGTGAATCTATTCATCCGTGTCCTTGTTGCGGGGCACTACACAGGCATATCCATGTCGATGTGAATCAATTTATGCATGTATTCATTATATAAGGATGTGGCACAGTCTGGGTATCAACTCACGTGTCGTCATTACATGTTTTGATGTATGGTAATTTTTATGCCTGGCTTAAGGAGTTTTGATTCAAATGTATCGGAAATACCAAGGTTTGAAGGCAAGTCAGAGATGTGTGAGCATGTACAGGTGCTTGTCTGTGCAATTTTTAAAAGATAAAAAGTATTTGTAGTTTATGCCTTCAGATTGGAAAGTTTGGTAACATTTAACACATTTGTCAGAATTGAGAAAGTTTGATAGCTTATCTAAACAATATGTGCAGATTGCGGAGGCCCCAATTCAAATGTCATATTTTAGTCTGGATTAAAGAGGTTTTGCTGTAAGGAAGTGGCGGTTTAAAAAGGCATGGTTATGATATAATGAATATGACTGGACTGAAATAAATTGGATGTAATGTTCCTGGTTTGTAAATGTCTTGTATTGAAGTAGTCAAGTTGTTTGTATTAAGGAGGTTTAATATCTAGAATAACTACAACTGTAATATACTGTAAAACCATTTATTTTATTTGGGAAGTTATTTTCCTTGGGTACTCTTAATTCAGTAATTCATAAACATGTTCAAACTGTTTAAGTATTTAAAAAAAACCCATGAAAAGTAAGCCCCAGAAACGTGATTTTACAGTAATTCTGTCCAATTTGAAAAGCTTTCATTATAATCAAAGTGCCTAGATTAAAGAGGTTTTGATGTGATGTAACTGTTGAGGAATTTGGTAATAATGACTGTTTTCTTTACCTACAGGTGTTGACACCCAATCACTAAGCATACTGCTGGACAGCTATCAGTCACCTGTGCAATGTCATCATTATCTTTTTATTTTGTAACCAATTGGAGCCTCTTCCATAAATGTCTTTCTCTCCAAATGCTGGAGTACTTTCAGAACAGACCTATGCAGGACAGCTTTTATCAGACATGGTTTTGTTCACTTTGTGTGTAAGCATTTTTTTTTGCATGAATAATAAAAAGAAAATCTTGTACCAACGTGTGAAAAATGAGTTCTTAGATTAATACTAACATTAATAGGCTGGTATATGTGTCCAGGGGACTCTCAGACTATTAAGTCAATAGAGAGACAAGATAATCCAACATCTGGATTACATGGAGACTTGATAAGGATAACTTGTGGAATACCAAACACAAATATAGAACACTGGGTGTGAGATGATAGTGGGTGTGAGGAGATGACTGTGGGTGTGACAGATGATTTAGGTGTGAGGAGAAGACTGTGTGTGTGACGAGATGACTGCAGGTGTGACGAGATGACTGTAGGTGTGAGAGATGACTGTAGGTGTGACGAGATGACTGCAGGTGTGAAATATGACTGTGGGTTTGACAAGAAGACTGTAGGTGTGACAGATGTCTTTAGGTGTGACGAGATGACTGTGGGTGTGACAGATGTCTTTAGGTGTGACGAGATGACTGTGGGTGTGACAGATGTCTTTAGGTGTGAGGAGAAGACTGTGGGTGTGACGAGATGACTGCAGGTGTGACGAGATGACTAGGTGTGATGAGATGACTGCATGAGTGACGAGATGACTGTAGGTGTGACGAGATGACTGTAGGTGTGAGAGATGTCTGCAGGTGTGAGAGATGACTGCAGGTGTGAGATATGACTGTGGGTTTGACAAGAAGACTGTAGGTGTGACAGATGTCTTTAGGTGTGACAAGAAGACTGTAGGTGTGACAGATGTCTTTAGGTGTGACAAGAAGACTGTAGGTGTGACAGATGTCTTTAGGTGTGACAAGAAGACTGTAGGTGTGACAGATGTCTTTAGGTGTGACAAGATGACTGTGGGTGTAGGAAAAGATAAATAAATTTTCAACAAACAACACAAATCACATGATAACATAAACTGAAACATTTTAATGGAAGAGAACATTTTGTATTAGAAAGTAAATGCTACCTAACACGTATATAAAATGTATAGGATGAGAGAATTGGCATATGTGAAGGAGTTCTGGCTTACTTAAGCCTCTCCTTATATCTGTCTTAAATAGTATGGCACAACATCAGCTTGCATATTCTAACAGAGCCTGGTCATTGATAATGCACGGTGTGATCACTGTCAAATAAAAACAAAATAAAGCCAATCACAAGCAAAACTGTCACATCTATATCCCAGGGTGAGAAACATATATGTCACTTTTGTTTGAGCACTCTGTTTAGATATATAATATATACTACTGTATACCATAATATTATGTTTTTTACTATATACTAATGATCATAATAGTTATTAATAGATATTGCACTGAATATGAGGTTGTGATAATTCAATTGATTAAGTAAAGAAAAGGCATTTTGAAATATTGAAACACACATCTGGTTTTCCTGTCTGGTAGGGCGACAAAGCAATCACAACTTCAATAATAATATTATGGCTGTTTCATAGATAAAAGTTTTTGCACTTTTTCCCCCCATCACAAAAATTTCTATGATCTGTTGAGAAGAAAAGACTTCAGCCTTGTAAGTACAAAGCATGAACTATCTTATAGATTTATTACATGAAAACAAAATTTGTAATAAATATGTAATCTCACCATTGAACTTTAACAAGTTCAGTTTTACAAAATGTACATCTGTATTTCAAAAAATGATTTCTAAAACTTTGAAATCTGCTGAAAAATTAAAATTTGTATTCTTGTTCACTACATTTAATTGGTGATTCATATATACTGAAATAAACAACAAAATATACATTAAGTACACGTTAATATTACTCATATTATGCTCTTATATAAATAAATATAATTTCTGCAAAAGACGACGCCTTCTGGGCTTAGTGGTCATGTGATTGTATTGTAGCTTACTGCAGAGCAGTATCATTAGGAGAAAAATAGTACAACATATCAAATTCCTTTTTTAGCAGTGCATTGTTGAATCTGTTTTAGATAAACCAGTAAATTCTAAAACAGATGATTGTTAAATGCCTCAAATGCCTAAATCCCTCCTCCAAATATGGTAGCTATTTTTTTTTTAAATTTCGGACTGTTAAGAATATAGATAGTTTATATCAACTGAGATTTTGCTCAATGACAATATGAGAATGTAATAAAGAGTTCCAATCATGGATTTTTTAACCAAGTTTTGATTGGGATCATCAGAGGATTGTCTCCGACAAGTTTCATCTAAATCATTATCCTTTAAGAAGAAGCTGGTCATCTGAAAAGTTTACGTACGGCAGATGTCACACAGCGATCAGCGGCTCACAAAACACAACGGCTATAGGTCATCCTGAACTTTTGCATCAGGAGACTTAAAAGCAAGATACGTCAGTAGTAATATTATATTATGTACTTACATGTTACACTCTATATCGTATATACCAGATAACATTTTATCATTACATAAGTACACAATTTCTATGGTATCTTAAACAAATGTTCACTTTGTATATCTTACAACAGACCTGGCAAGTTAGATGCGTATCATATATTTGGTATATATATACCTGTGTCTAAAACACAGCCTATATTGAGGATTAATTTCTGTCATTGTCTGATTCATCCCAGTAATTAAGATTAACCCTCCATCCCTTGTTTTCTGCAAGTTTTATTTCAATGTACTTTCCATATTACTGTAAAAACTGTAAGGTGTTTCTTTAATTAGTAAAAAAAATGCTCTTCCATTATAACAGAAATAACTGAACATTTTCACAAAACTACATTGACTGTCAGATCAATAGTCGAAGAAACAGAGAACATGTAAACTCATTAACACAGAGACTAGGCTCAACATAACTAAAACAGTAGGTGACTGTTTACTGTATTAATGTATAAAGTTTTTTCAATTCAGTGAAAATGGTTCAATTCTTCTCTAAAGACTGTATTTCTGATGTATCTTTGCAATTTTTAGTCAAACCTCGAAAATGGCGAAAAAAGTAACTCCTCCACCTTAACAACTTATACAGTAAGGTTTAAATTGTCTCCAGGCCTTTCTTACAGGGGTATATTACAGATCGTTATGATTTTCCCTATATGCCTTTCTGATTCCATATATGAACACAGGTTCATAATGTAAAGTTTCTATCCAGTTGAAACATGTATACATGGTTTTTATAATTTGAAACATTTTTATGAAAAAGAAAACAAATTTGCATTGATTACATTTGCAAATAATATAAGCTCAAAATAACTGGAACAGAAGTTAAATTATTTTCTGATAAAGTTGCTGTAAATTTCAAACCAAAATACACTTCTAAGACAAGTCTATACATGTTTTATGGCAGTGTGGAAGCATTTTATATATTAATGATCACTAGTTTGTTTGTTTCATAATTAAATGTTGAAAAAATTGATCATACTAACCTGTACATGTAGAACACATGTAGCACCGACATTAACAGATGTATGAGTGTTCTTTAAAGAAAAAACATGTGACGAACATTCATCAGGTAGGTACGGACATTTTATATGACACCTGACGTAAGAATTCCACAGGCCTAAAAGACCCCTGTTTTATACACACAACTTCATTCTCCACAATCAACTCAACAACAAGTAAACCATTAAGTCCAATGAGTCTCTATAATGAGGTACAAACCAGATTGATAGCACTAGACTTTTACACGCGCAGAAATCAAATGATTTAACGGTGACTTCTGATCACTTTCTCCACACAATATATCAGTAAAGTAAAGCAACATATTTATTGATGGAAGATAAAAATCTACCGTGACCGAGCTCCAATATCCTATAAATACTTAAACAAAGAATTCCTCATATTCCTTGTTATCTCCCTTTGTGACATCAAAATTGAAGTCTTTGAAAGATTTACAGAATAAGTATACATGAGATGAAATTCTATACAACAAAACTGTTCTAGAACAGTAACAGAAAGACTTCTCCTTTCACTCAGATCTGGTGACATCATTTTCACATTATCAAGCTCTGTTAAAAAAGGATAAACAAGTATTGAGCGTGGCATCAAAGGTGACTTATATTTCTTACCTCTGATTACCAATGAATTCAATCAATGTAAGGTTTGGTCATCACATCAACAAAATACACAATAGTTGAAATTTAAACGAAAGAAGTTATCTCCAGAAAGGAAGAAATATCTTAGCACTCCTCCATAATAGGTATTAAAAGCGATGACATATTCCCCACAAAATGTCTCCTACACACTCGTCTTAAATATCTGTACACAAGTGAAGTTCTGCACTCATGTTTATATAATAGTAAAGAGTATGTGTAGAAAATCAAGGCTCCAATGGCGTCCTCAGTCTTCACCAGCATGATGACCTTTCACCACGGTGATGGGTGAGTGTCTACTCTGACCTACCCCTATGATAAGGAATGGTCTGATCCTGCATAGACACACCTGTACAATTGGACTAATTGAACTCGCCCATTATAACTCCAAGGAAAAGTCAAAATGCTGGGTCAGACTACTTGCACTAAAGCAGTCCTCATGTCCACAGAACATGACTGAGAAGTGACATGGTCTTTGAGAGTAGCAGCAAAAAATAATTCCATTCCTCATATTTCGATGAAATTTTTTTGTGATAAATGTAACACTTTTCAATAGGTGAACACAATATTAAAAATCTCATGCCAAAGTTTTTAGGATCACAATGTTATGATCCTGTCTACAGTAAAGCTTGATTTGTAGCTGGCTTCTCTCGTTTGAATTGCAAGGGAACACATTAAGTACAACTAAGAGTTGCTCCCCTTGTTGAATTTTGCCTTAGAATTGTCAATGTCATAACAGTGTGAATGTTAGCTTTAATAAACCAACACTGTTTCTGACTGGTGTTCTTCTGGTGTAGCTGGAGAAGTTCTGTCTATCCAGGATCACACGTCCACACATTCAGGACTAGGCAGCGGACTAGACAACATAAAGTTGGCAGCACGCTGCACGTCCCAGTCACAGGTCATCAGCGCTTCCTTGCAGAGGTGGACATCACCAAGCTGAGCACTGAGCAGCTGTTTCAGTTTCACATACTTGATGGCACGCTGGACATCCCATTTAGTCTCCTCCAAGGCAAACATACAGTCCTGGACTGTCACCTGTCAACACAAACAGCAAATTTACATCAAACTTGCTACAAAAATTGAACCACATAGACCATCTCTGTAAAATTGTGGAAATTTGATGCATCTGTTGACATTTGCCACCTTCCATACTGGCCTACAGTGAATACTTCAGTGTACCACAATCAAGTACCATTATTAAAAAAAACTGACTTACCTCCATTACCCATGAAAATGTTGTTTTCATTGAAACCTTAAAATAATTCTGTATACGATTACAAGTGACATTTCTATATGATCTGTCTCAGTCACAAATGTGGTGGGCAGATACTCGTAAGAAAGGCAGTACCAGTACACTACAAATTTTTCCCTCTGTTCTCCTGATAATGTTTGTCCACATATGCTTTGTATATGTAATCTGCATGCCTGATCAACAAGGAAAACAGTTGCAGCTTATTATCCGAAAGATATGGTACATTATACATGCTGGGAAAGTTACTGATAGGGAATGTTAAGGTTACATTGCCCTTAGATCTGACCTCAATCAATATGCTGTTGTCACACAGCATTTCACCTTTAATGTCAGTTGTTATGTTCATTTTCTTAAAAATTCTGTATAACTGCATAATATATTTAATAGTGACAATAAATTTGACAAGTGAGTTTAATTTCATCTATTTTTTTTAAAGATAAGGTGTTTCATGAATATACATGATGATATCTTACATCACTCCCGAATTCCCATAGAAATATGTGTTATAGAATAGAATAACTTGTCTCAATCCTGAATGCTGACACTTAACATTGTGTTTTGAGCTGTTGAGGGTATTCATATCTGTTATTGTATTAAACAATTATAACTTGTTTGTACACAAGTCATTGTAAAATACCAGTAGTGTTTGAATAATTTGTTGTTTAATTAAAGTGACACTTTTTAAGTCTTTTCATAGTTTGTACGAGAGATGTGAGGCAAAAGACTTGTAGTCGCTAAGCTGTTCACACCCTCATGAATCAAATAAAGAATTTGATCAAACACTGTATTGAAATGCTAATAGAGTTGGAAAGAAGTATAACTTACCTCGTTACCAAATACTTTCTGCATGGTGTCTATTTCCTCGCAGTTCTTCTCCCTGATGTAAAGGAAGCAGAGCAGGTCTATGTTACAAACATCCATGTATCTACAGTGACTAATAAGCCATAATCTACTTCTAGCTTCAAAAGTGATGACTAATTTTGTGAAATACAAGACTGTGATACCACACAAAACATGACAGAGCTATAACACACAGCGACAGATAAGAAACTTCCACGTTTTGTAGCAATCCTGAAAATACTAATATCAACTAATCAATGCTTATAAAAAAGTTAACCCCCTAATTATCTATTTTTCAAGGGGGAAAAAAAAAAGCAACTTTTACATATCAGAGAGTTGACTTTTTTGAGTCTCCAGATCCTCCGCCATTCTCCCCTCCCTAACAAAACATTTTTTATGGAATGAAAATTTACATATCATATATACAGGCTTTCAAACACATTTAAATATCCATTTCAATCAACTTACTAGTGCAGACTTATTAGAAAAAAAATACTGATTTATAAAAAAAAAAAAAAACCACATATATAGGGATGCTGACATAGTCTAAATGTTCAAACAGCAGATTGTTTAAAAAGGTATCAGAAGATGATACTACAAAAGTAAGTATTTTATATACTGAAAGGTCAAACCTGTACATCACCTAAACGACCAGTGTATTACCTTATATATCACCTAATACACCAGTGTATCACCCAATGGACCAGTGTATTACCCAATGGACCAGTGTATCACCCCATGGACCAGTGTATCACCTAATACACCAGTGTATCACCCAATGGACCAGTGTATCACCTAATACACCAGTGTATCACCCAATGGACCAGTGTATCACCCAATGGACCAGTGTATTATCTTATATATCACCTAATACATCAGTGTATCACCCAATGGACCAGTGTATTATCTTTTATATCACCTAATACACCAGTGTATCACCCAATGAACCAGTGTATCACCCAATGGACCAGTGTATTATCTTATATATCACCTAATACACCAGTGTATCACCCAATGGACCAGTGTATTATCTTATATATCACCTAATACACCAGTGTATCACCCAATGGACCAGTGTATCACCTTATATATCCCCTAATACACCAGTGTATCACCCAATGGACCAGTGTATTATCTTATATATCACCTAATACACCAGTGTATCATCCAATGGACCAGTGTATCACCAAATGGACCAGTGTATTACCCAATAGACCAGTGTATTATCTTATATATCACCTAATACACCAGTGTATCACCCAATGAACCAGTGTATCACCCAATGGACCAGTGTATTATCTTATATATCACCTAATACACCAGTGTATCACCCAATGGACCAGTGTATTATCTTATATATCACCTAATACACCAGTGTATCACCCAATGGACCAGTGTATCACCAAATGGACCAGTGTATTACCCAATAGACCAGTGTATCACCCAATGGACCAGTGTATTACCCAATGGACCAGTGTATCACCTTATATATCCCCTAATACACCAGTGTATCACCCAATGGACCAGTGTATCACCTAATGGACCAGTGAACTTAATTGACCAGTGTATTACCCAATGGACCACTGTATCACCCAATGGACCAGTGTATTACCCAATGGACCAGTGTATTACCCAATGGACCAGTGTATCACCCAATGGACCAGTGTATCACCTTATATATCCCCTAATAAACCAGTGTATTACCAAATGGACCATTGTATTACCCTATGGACCATTGTATTACCCAATGGACCAGTGTATCACCTAATGGACCAGTGTATCACCCAATGGACCAGTGTATCAACCTCCAGATCAGTGTATCACCCTACAGACCAGTGTATCACACTACAGACCAGTGTATCACCCTACAGATCAGTGTATCAACCTCCAGATCAGTGTATCACCCTACAGACCAGTGTATCACCCTACAGACCAGTGTATCACCCTACAGACCAGTGTATCACCCTACAGACCAGTGTATCACCCTACAGACCAGTGTATCACCCTACAGACCAGTGTATCACCCTACAGATCAGTGTATCACCTGGACCAGTATTACCCAATAGACCAGTGTATCACCCTAATGGACCAGTGTATCACCCTATGTATCACCCTACATACACCAGTGTATCACCCTACAGACCAGTGTATCACCCTAACAGACCAGTGTATTACCCAATGGACAGATCCAGTGTATTACCCTACATGGACCAGTGTATTACCACCCTACAATGACCAGTGTATCACCCTATATCCCCTAATAAACCAGTGTATTACCAAATGGACCAGTATATACCCTACAGACCAGTGTATCACCTAATGGACCAGTGTATCACCCAATGGACCAGTGTATCAACCTCCAGATCAGTGTATCACCCTACAGACCAGTGTATCACCCTACAGACCAGTGTATCACACTACAGACCAGTGTATCACCCTACAGATCAGTGTATCAACCTCCAGATCAGTGTATCACCCTACAGACCAGTGTATCACCCTACAGACCAGTGTATTACCCTACAGACCAGTGTATCACACTACACACCCTACAGACCAGTGTATCACACTACAGACCAGTGTATCACCCTACAGACCAGTGTATCACCCTACAGACCAGTGTATCACACTACAGACCAGTGTATCACCCTACAGACCAGTATATCACCCTACAGACCAGTGTATCACCCTACAGACCAGTGTATCACCCTACAGACCAGTGTATCACACTACAGACCAGTGTATTACCCAATGGACCAGTGTATTACCCTACAGACCAGTGTATCACCCTACAGACCAGTATATCACCCTACAGACCAGTGTATCACCATACAGACCAGTATATCACCCTACAGACCTACAGACCTACAGACCAGTGTATCACACTACAGACCAGTGTATCACCCTACAGACCAGTGTATCACACTACAGACCAGTGTATCAACCTCCAGATCAGTATATCAACCTCCAGATCAGTGTATCACACTAAACACCTGTGTACAATCCTATAGACCTATGGATAATCAAATAGACCAGTGTATAACCCATTGGATCAGTGTGTCATTTATCAGACCAGCGTATCAGCCAACAGACCTGTGTAAAACTATAAACCTGAAAACAAAAGCGCACGGAAGGGGAGATAATTACTTCTGGAGTGACAAGATTAGAGAAGGGAAAGCAGTCCGGATTGTGGTACTAAGTGTGTTGGGAAGGGGAGGTAATAATTTGTCCAATAATGCAGCAGAAGAAATATTGATTGATAAATGGAAGTGTGAAGGGGCAATCAAACCTACTGACAGTGTGATCAGGCAATGAAGCCTATTGACAAATATAAATAGGCAATTTTACATACTGACAATGTGCATAGGTAATCAAATCTACCGACAGTATAGATAGGCAATTTATCTATTGACAAGTATAAATAGACAACATTTAGATTTCCAGACAAGAGATAACGCTACAAGTTATAAACAAAAAAATAAAATCCCATACCACAGGTAAACAACCCACAGGTATGTATTTCCACTTTGATCACAGGTAAGCAAACCCCCCCACCCCCCTCCCCAACCCCATATTACAAGTATTCATCTCAAACTATATCACAGTTTAAGCATACCACCTATATCACAGGTAAGCATCCACATCCATACCAAAGGCATTCATCTTCACCTAAACCACAGGAAAGTAACCCCACTCACATCATGGGTAGGCAACTCAACCTATATCACAGGTAAGAAAAATCACTGACACCACAGGTAGGGAACCTCCACCTGAACCACAGGAAAGTAACCCAGTCACACCATGGGTAAGCAACTCAACCTATATTGCAGGTAGGGAACCCCTTCCACACCACTGATATACATCTCCATCTTATCACAGGTAAGCAAAACCATCCACACTGTGGGTAAGTATACCAACCTATATCACAGGTAAAGGAAAATCACCCATGCCACAGGTAAGCAACTGTATATGATCTCAGTTAAGCACTTGCACAATAATTACTTGTAAGCAAACCATGCCCGCAAAACAGGGAATCAAGCCCGCCCGAATCATAGGTAAGCGATTCCACCCACAACACAGGTAAGCAAAATTACCTACACCACAGGTAATCCAACCCACCTACAACACAGTAAAGCTAACCCACCCACACCATGGGTAATAAAACCCACCCACACCACAGGTAATCAAACTCATCCATAACACAGGTAATCCAACCCACCCACAACACAGTAAAGCTAACCCACCTACACCACGGGTAATCCAACCCACCCACAACACAGGTAATCCAACCCACCCACACCAGGGGTAATCAAACCCACCCACAACACAGTAAAGCTAACCCACCCACAGCACAGGTAAGAAAGCGCACCCAATCAACAGGTAAGAAAGCTCACCCACAGCACAGGTAAGAAAGCTCACCCAATCAACAGGTAAGAAAGCTCACCCACAGCACAGGTAAGAAAGCTCACCAAATCAGCAGGTAAGCAAACCTATCCACAAGTGTAAGAAGGCAATACAAGCTCACCCCATGCTTTGTTAGTTGGCTAGATGCCATATGCATCAGTAGATTTCATGGTTTACAGAGCTCGAATTTTTAATGTTAAGTTGCAGATTATCAAAGACTTTTCTAATGAAGTATGTGCCCACTATTTTACCATAACACCAAACAAAAATTATGATGACACAATGTATCATACTAACAGTTATGAATATTCATTCCCCATGAAAGAAGTGATTTAAAATCAATAATCAAACTTAGGTATGGAAATATAAGTGGGTAAGATCTATGAAAGCTGAAGACCAGTCATTTAATGCCTCAAAACAATATCAATTAAAAAAAAAAAAAAAATCAAGACCCTCCTTTCTGGTGTATAAACATTTCTTACCTACCATTATATCAAATATATTTCAAAATAAAAGACGAAAGGTGGAGATGAAGCAACAAGCTTGTCCATGTGCCTGACTATATGATATAGGGCTGTGTATTTTATGCCAGTGGATAGTTGTAAGTATGAGTTCAATGCAAGCACTCTCAATGCT